AGTAACTTAATTCAAAGACCATGAGGTTTGAATTTCAAAATCAAAAAGTGGTATCCATTATGGAATAGGAGTGCTTAACTAGATTTTGGTGGCCTTTGATCAATTGGATATGCTGCCCAAACCAAACATACTTACATTAGCTTAAGAACATAAAGCTTGTAAGAAGATTTTGTCATGATGTATACGAGCAAAAGAAGATCAAAATCTGTATGCTATGCAAATTTTGAAGTCTGATAGAATTTATAAGATTTAAACTATTTACTGGTTGATCATCCTTTTAGTTTAACAACTAGCATATTAATTTGCTGTGGACATCTCTTTTGCAAGTCGTGTGCTTGCTCAGCATGTTCCGTTTTGATCTTTGAAGGGGTTAACTCTGCAAGCCCAAAGATGAAATGTCCAGTTTGGAAAGAGGTTAGTATGGCTTTTTAATTATAACATGTATCTACAAGAGATTCATACTTTCCTATGAAAAACAACCTACATTTTACAAATTATTATTTACTTTTTGTGCATTTTAATTAAGTTAATTATGATTTTAAATATGTTGGATTTTAAATATATCACTCTTCTTTTGGGTGTTGACTTGGTAATGGAAATAACTCAAATGATTTAATAAAATGTACACCATCCGCTGAGAATGAACCCGTCCGCTCTATTTTAGTTTACAAAGGGACAGCTGGATTGATGGTCAATGATCCTGTTTTACGGACACACAAGGTATATATTGCATACAGTAACTTACTTTGAGATGATCATAATCTGAAAATGGATTGTGTTGATCTCTTCATTTATCTCCAGCCTCTATCACTTTGAGTGTTTGCAAACAAGCAAGAAGTACCGTGAGTGGGACATAACATAAAACAAACATGGGAACTGTACTGTCAACTACTAGGACATGAGAAAAAATACGTCTCAGATTCAATAAAAGCATGTGATCTAGATATCTATAAAGAATCACAACTGTTAATTTGGTACTGTGGAACATTGCAATGGAAGTTTCAAGATTATTAATGTGGTGCGTTGTTATCATGCCATTGAAGTTGTGTTGTRGYATCAAGATGAAGTTAATGAGGATGTAGCCTGTAGGATGCCTTGCTAAATGTACATGTCCATGTTAATGTGAATTTTAACATGTGCAGTTACCTTTTATGTCACTTTAAGATGCTGAAACCACTTGCAATCTKAAGGAAACTTGCAGTACATGGAAGCCTATGCAGGCTATAACCGGGTAATAAAAATGTAAAACAACAATCAAGAACTGATATTGGACTTCAGATTAGTTGTAAGAGTTAACATGGAACATTGAGATTTGATTAAATCTTAATCATAAAATTGTAGAAATGCGTAGATATTTGTGTGTCTCTCATTTGATGTTAGTTAGAATTTCGACTCCCTCCAAGAATTATCTCTTATGAAGCATCATTATTGGTTGATATTGTCAATATAATTTTTTGCAGAGGTGAGTCAAATGTCAAGCCGTTTAACCTCAGAATCTCGCATCTACGCTGACAAAGCAAGAGATCTAAATCGGCAGGTTAGCATGCTTCTGTTTTAAGATGACATATTTTGTTAGTTTGTCCGTCTTTTGGTGATTTTCGCAGCAGTGTGTATGAAGCCGGTTGGTTTTGCAATTGTACATGAACTTTCTTATAGAAGACTAAAAATGAGCGGACCCCACCAGCTTTGTGGTCAATGTTGGGAATTTATATTTGGTTTAAAAGTTTGTTGGAGTCTTTAGGAGGTGACTGGTACATTTCAAGATAGACTTAGTTGGTGGATGCGTTCATGGACACCATATGATGTAAATTTGTACTCACCATTTGTTGTTCCAACTGTAGGCCTTGATCCGGAAATGGGCTCCTGTTGCAATTGTCCTTAGAGGCCTCTTAAGACTATCGCAAAACGATCAGGTGATGTCTACATCCCTTGTGGTGTATCTGTCCCAACACTTGACAAGGACATCCTTTGGGAATTTCAGCCCAAAAATCTCTTGATAAAATAGAGTTGTCTTGACAATGAATTTTCACAAAAGTATTTTTTTTAATGCTCTTGATTTGTCTTGATTTAATGTTAAGTGTGCATAAAAAATGTTATTTTTTCATGTTGTAGGGAGTGTGGTGATGGTTTCTTTTCCAGTGCTGAATATGATACATTATGAACCCTGACTAATATGTATGTATGTATGTATGTATGTATGTATATACACACACACACATATGTAGATATATGCAATTACATTGTTCTTTTTAAGTTTCAAAATGCAGTATGTCTTTTTTATTCTTCTTTTATCTAATCCCCATAGTTGTGTTTATTTGTTTATATAGGTCTCAAGACAACAATCACAATTGACTGGTTTATTAAGAACTTGTATACCAGTACAATACTTATCAAAAGGTTGGAGATGATTCATGTAGTATACAATACTTATCAAAAGGTTGGAGATGAAGCAGGTAGCATACAATACTTATCAAAAGGTTGGAGATGATGCATGTATATATGGCTTCATGCTATGGAGGCCCTGTATTGGAAGTGGGATTCTTCTCTATCAAAAACACCCATCAAGATCAATTTGTAGTCTTTTTTTTTCCAAAATAATTCTTACCATGACAAGTGCATCATTCTTACAAGAAAAGAAAATGGTTGAGTACACAGTTTCTAATTATTTTTGTAATGCGTAGAAGGCCTTTGTCAAATTCTCACCTTTCAACACTTGCATTGAACAAATTTTGTCAAATTATTTAAGCCTTTGTCTGATCTAGTTGGTTGATTTGTATGGTTTGTGTGAAAAATGTTTAGTATGGAAAATATTTAGTGGCCGTTTACCAAATGCTTACCCGGATATCATAAAATTCAACACTATCACTAACTTATTGGTATCCTATGCACAACCATGGCAAGAGTCGTCGCCCTCACTTGCTAGGTAAGATTATCGGTCCTTGTTTATGTGAGCCGACTAATCCAGGGCGACCACCTGCTTCTCGAGTAGTCCGGAGTCACCACAATTGAACCTCCGTGGCCACAAGTGAATTTTTATTCCTCTTTAGATTCGATCCTCGACTCCGGTCAAATTATGAGATTGCTATCAAAAGTACTTGAATTATTACCGGGATCTCGTTTGCAAGCCGCCGTATTGCGCGGGTAGACAACTAGTATATATATAAGTTGTATTATGCCTTTAATTAATGACTCTTCCTTAATCACTTTTTTCATTGCTAATTTAATTCATACGGTGCTTGATGAAAATCAACCAAATGATACATGATAAAACTAGAACAATCAATGATCGATTGTGTGATCAAGGCGAGCATATATATAATTTAAATGATTTTGAGTTCATTAGTTACTAATCAAAATTGGTTTATTTGCACAACCATAAATAGTTATACGGTATATATATATATATATATATATATCGACGTATTTGCTCAACTAAAATACATACATATGTCCTTTAGACTCAATCATTTCTTAATCTATTTATTCCTCTTTTACCCTTCTCATCTTTCATCCCTGTCCATCTTGAAAGGACATTGAACATCCCTAAATTTTCTCAACTTTCAACCACTATATTTCTCAAATTTACCAAGAATTAATTAGCATAAGAAGAGATCCCCATGGCGAGCTTACATTTGCGATTTCTTCTTCTTCTTCTTCTTCTGGTTCGAACGAAGCATCCCCTCACCATAAGAACCAATTACTTCTTCTCTGTAATTGTTTAAATCCAGTTGTTGGTGCTTAAGTATTCATTTTTTGTAAAGGATAAAGTTCACATACTTTTTTTTGGAAAGATTCAATTTGACAACATTTTTTTGTTAAAGATTTATTATCATCAAGAATATAGCTGCCAATTTTTACTTTTTTATTAGGGTGAAATAGTCATTTTTGTTGTTCAGATAGTTTATTCAACACAATAATTTATCTGTTATCATACAGATAACTTTATTAATACAAATAGTTTTATCTATACAAGTATTAATAGAAAATGAATCAAACAAACTTTTTATCTTAAGAATTGAAGCGTATAAATCAAATATTTTGAACCAAGAAAAGTGAATAAACTAAACTGGTAGGTAGTTTAGTAAAAAAGAAAAATATTACAGGGATAGGAATTGTAATAAAGTAAAAGTTGGAGGGCTTCATACACGTGAAATCAAAAGTTTTTCACGTGAGATTGCCTGCTGCTACTTCAAGCGCAGGTCGGCCAATCAAAACGACACCGTATTTCAATTACTACAATTACACTTTAATTTGCTGTAGCGTAAATAAGAGATCTCTTTTCGGATTTGGCGCTTTTTATTTAGAGATCCTCAACCAACTAAATATCGCTCAAATCTCTCTCTCTCTCTCTCTCTCTCTCTCTCTCTCACATACTTATTATCGGTCTGAGAATCTCCTGGCCAAAGTTGAAGTCGAGGACCCTTTACGTCCTCAATTGGGTCTTCCATCTCTACCTTTCTGTTTCTCTGGCCATGGACACTCTGCTCCAATCATCTCCCATTTTCATTTCCAAATGGACCCACATCAACCCTAGGCAATTGGTTTTTTCCACTTTTAAGCAACAACACAGGAGTTGTAATCTTAAGTTGAGGGCGATTACCAAGAGTTCGCAAGATGGATCCTCTCCTGTAAGCAAGGATGGCGTCTTATTGGATACTGAGAAAGATGAATCTGGTTCAGTCGTTGGTTTTCGTTTCATTCCTCAATCTGCTGGTATATTATCTTACTTTTACCATTTCCATTCCATTCATTGTTTCAATTCAGTTCGCCTAATTTCATGTCAAAATTTGTTGTTTAAATTGAAATACTACTATTTGACTCCATTTCACTACAATTTTCTCTACCAAATTGTTCAACCATAATCGTTGTTTTTCAAATTGTTATGCAATTCATAGTGAAATTTGGGCTGAATGTTTGGCATGTCTTACAATATAGATAAGCATCTCGAACATGACTAACGTCACTATATGTGAAACCCTTCAAATCTAAATCTAAAACAGCCCAGCCCTCAAGAGAGGGTGGTTTATATATATATATATATATATATATATATATATATATATATATATAACAAGTTATAGAGGAAAACCCAAAAAAATGAAAAACTTAGCAACACCATGATAATCTTTCATCTGGACGATGTACACATGCGCATACAAGTAATTGAAGCTGGTTTTTAGGATTTTATGCACGTGTGCATGATATGCATATGTGTATACCGAACAAATTGCTTACAAATGACTTGTATGCACAAGGTGTTTCTCAATTTTTTTTATATGGTTTTTCCTAGAACCTGACCATATATATATATATATATAGAGAGAGAGAGAGAGAGAGGGGTGTTTGATGGTCGGTGTCCGACCTCCTCAAATGGAGGCTAGACTTTGACCTTAAAAATGAAGGCTAAAGAGTGTGTTGATTTTATATGTGGTGGTAGATCTGGTTCTAATATCATGTACGAAATTATGTTAACCCTTTGAGTCACTCTCTAATAGAATCCTCACCAAAATGTTTTGGAGCCAATTTTGAAAGGTATATTTGTGTAACCGGTCCATATCATAATTTTTTTCATGCCTATATTCTCTCCATAGTCCATATACATGGGGTAAGACTCCAGTTTTAGACTGAAGCATTTTTTTTTCTGGAATGAGACTACATGATTGCCAATGATGTATGAAACAGAAACTTACCATTACAAGATAGATCTCCAAAGTGTCAATAACTCGTGATATAAGCTTCTTTTCTTTCTCAAAGGCATTAATTAGTTAGATGAAACATCAGTTGTTGATGATGATGATGACAATCAGCTAATCCTTGAACTCCCAGATGACACAGAAATTAGCAACTCTCACGATGACATATCAACAAACGACAAAGCAGAAGAAGTGATTGTGGATGATGACTTGGGAGAAACAAGACGCGCAGAAGTGACATACAACATTGTTTTCGTTACTTCTGAGGCAGCACCATACTCGAAAACTGGAGGCTTAGGAGATGTGTGTGGATCTTTGCCGATTGCACTTGCAGGACGTGGGCATCGTGTGATGGTTGTTTCACCTAGATATATGAATGGTGGACCTTCAGATAAGAAGTTTGCTGCTGCTGTTGATCAAGATTGTCGAATTAAGGTTGCTTGCTCTGGTGGGGTGCAGGATGTTGCGTTCTTTCATGAGTATAGGGCCGGTGTTGATTGGGTAAGAAGGTTTGTCTAGGTTTACTAATTCATCAGTTTCTGTAAGATTTTGATCATCTTATGGCTTGGTGTTTTCAGGTGTTTGTAGACCATCCTTCTTTCCATCGTCCTGGAAATCCATATGGTGATGCTTATGGTGCATTTGGTGATAACCAGGTACTAACTAATCCAGGAAGTTATAGTTGATGATTTATGTATTTTTATATCATTAATAACATTCTTTTCTTTTAAACAGTTCCGGTTCACCTTACTTTGTCATGCAGCGTGTGAAGCTCCTCTAGTGCTTCCTTTGGGAGGGTTTACATATGGTGAAAAATGTTTGTTCCTTGCAAATGATTGGCATGCTGGTCTGGTGCCAGTGTATGTCCTAAACACTCGTACTTTTTGTTTATGCATGTGATAATATGAAAATCCATCAAATTACTTTCCAAAAGATCCCTTGAAGGGAGGAGGTTCAAACATATATTGAAGTAAGGTCCAACGGAGGCTAGATGGACACAAATGTTTTGGAGGTAGATCCTGGCTCTAATACCATGCGAGAATATGTGGAACCACATTAAATTATCCTCCAAAAGAGCCTTTGAGGAGAGAAGGGGGTTCCAACATATATTGAAATAAAAAGGTTCAAGTCTAGCCAATGTGGGACACCATGTGTATTGCTCATGATTCTGCCAAAAAAATCCTTGCCCAGTAGTAAAAACTGCATTTTGTCCTCTGTCATTACCTGCAAATTCTAAAATTTAACTTGTACTATTGTTTAGACTATTGGCAGCAAAGTATCACCCCTATGGAGTTTACAAGGATGCTAGGAGTATTGCCGTCATACATAATCTTGCACACCAGGTAGGATCCTTTTCATAATTGGGGTGGTAAAATTGTGGTAGTCACTGCAAAACTTTCAGCAACAATCACCCAAATTCTACATAAAATAGTTTAAGAAACTGTGCTTCACAACATGCATATTAAGTGCATCTTGTGGAAAAAATTTCGTTACTAACCACTTACCATCTTTTATCGCTTCATAAACAAGTTTCTGATTTCATGTCGTGTTATGTCAATGTTGTTCAAGACAAGAATAACAGCACACAAAATCTTATGGTTCTATTGGTTCGTTTATTTTCCATTTCATGGATCTCATCTTCATTTCCTTTTTGATGTGACTAAATGCGACCCATTACCATATTTATTTCTTCTTAGTGGGTCCCATGAGATGAAAATGCTGGACCTGATATCTTACCTGACTAGTTGAACCCTACTGGGATGCATTAATTTTATGGCACTTTTAAGCTAGACAAGTGTTTTCATTTCTCTCGTGTTATAATCTTACAAATATTGTAGGGAGTCGAGCCTGCATCAACTTACAGTAATTTTGGATTGCCCCCAGAGTGGTATGGAGCTTTGGGTTGGGTATTTCCTACTTGGGCAAGAACACATGCTCTTGACACTGGTGAAGCTGTCAACATTCTAAAAGGTGCACTTGTAACTGCTGATCGGATACTGACAGTTAGCCAGGTAAAAGAAACTTTGTGATCATCATGTAAATCATCAAATATAAACATCTTAGGATCGTTTACGTGTTTGATTGTTTTGCTCAGGGTTATTCTTGGGAAATTACAACCCCAGAAGGTGGATACGGTCTAAACGAGCTTCTGACCAGTAGAAAGACTGTTGTGAATGGTATGTAGTTTGAAATCCACATATTGTACTAACTTGTCAATAGCAAATGGAAAAATGAGCCAGCTGGGTGTCCAACCAGGACTCCAGGTTGTGCTTATGTTGTAATACTTTAACCTGTTTAAACCAAAATTGCAATGGTGATGTTATTGTTGGGGGTAACTAAGCAAAAGATGGTCAACACTATGAAAAAGGTAACATGATAACTTTTTGGTGTAGCTAAACTTAAACAAGATGGAGCATATATCGACTCAAATAGATAAACCTTACTTTGATCATCTGTGTGAGAGATCTGATTATATGGTTATGCAGGGATCACAAATGGCATTGATGTAACCGAATGGAATCCATCTTCTGATGAGCATCTCCCTTCTCATTACACTCTGGATGACCTTTCAGGGAAGGTGGTTATCTTTCTTTTTCTTTTTTACTTCAACAAAGGTGTAACGGCAATGAACCTACAAAAAGAACTCTGGGGGTGTTTGGTACGAGTAAAAGGGAATTAGAAAAATGAAATCAGAAATGATTCTCATGTTTGGTTGTCACGGAGGATGGAAATAACTGACTAAAGATTCTTTCCTTACAATTCCATTTCTCATCTCCCATTCTTTCTGAGAAACATGCAAAAACAAAAAAAGTACTCAGATTTAAGCACTTGAGATCAGTACCAATTCCGTGTTTATCGCAAATAGTGAACGAATTCCTTTCTTTAGGTCCATTCCCTTTCTCAATCACTCCAACCTATCAAATATCCTCTAATTTGACCTTGCACACCAAAAGGGGGCAACAGGTAATATTATTACTTTGTGACGGACGTTTATAGTAGAGAACTCTCTCTCCCCAGCAAAGGTGAGGAGTCCTGGTGTGCCTGGTTGCCTAAGAACATAGCAGTTGGGCATTATAGATTGCCCATGGAATAGTTATGAACATATTTGGTTATGGTCATTTCAAGAATCTGTTTGTGAAATGCAGATTGAATGCAAGATTGCTCTTCAAAAGGAATTAGGTCTTCCAATTCGGCCAGATTGCCCATTGGTAAGATAACACCGATTGTGAATTTCGGTAATACACAATACAAGTGTTTGATGAGGTTCACAATCATAACAGATTGGATTTATTGGGAGATTGGACTACCAGAAGGGTATTGACATAATTCTATCGGGAACTCCAGACTTGTTGCAAGATGATGTTCAATTTGTAAGTAACTTACTTAAAAGGCAGCACTTGGTTTGCACCTGGATCTTCCATATGAGTAAAGATTAAATCTATTTCAGATAATGCTTGGATCTGGAGAAAAACAATATGAAGACTGGATGAGAGCCATGGAAGCAACATTCAAAGATAAATTTCGTGGATGGGTTGGATTCAATGTTCCTATATCTCACCGGATAACAGCAGGGTAAATGTAAATCACAATAGTTTATGTTCAAGAAAGTTTGAGGATAAAGTTAAGCTCACACATTATTGTTACACTATATGCAGATGTGATATCCTACTAATGCCCTCAAGATTCGAGCCATGTGGTCTAAATCAGCTGTATGCAATGAGATATGGAACTATACCTGTAGTCCATGAAACTGGAGGACTTGGAGTGAGTTAAAATCATATTCTGTCAATTTAGTTTAATTTTCTGGAGACTGGAAGTTGTTGGCATGAGACCATGACTAAGTACATAATTTACGTTATCCAGGACACTGTGAAGACTTTCAATCCATTTGCTGATGAAGGCAGAGGTGAAGGTACCGGGTATGTATTTGTTCAAAATGACTATAACTAGGACAGGATGAAACAACTAGAAGAAACCGGAAAATGCATTTATATGATATATTCCCAGTCCTGGTCTGGCATTAATAAGCAATGTCTTAACAGGTGGGCGTTCAAACCTTTGACAAGAGAATGCATGTTGGATGTAAGTTATCTCTCCAAACAGTATGCCTAATGTCTTTTATTACTTACAGCCTGCTATGACGCTTAAAACCTAACTCTTCAGACAATCAAGAGTTAAAAGTGGATTCTTTTACGATTAAGAGGAATGTCAAAAACAATTTCCATCTAACTTAAGACTTTGAAATGGTGAATCTTGTAGGCACTAAGGGTTGCTATAGAGACTTACAGGAAACACAAGCCTTCTTGGAGAGGGTTGATGAAGAGAGGAATGGAAAGGGATTCTTCGTGGGATAATGCTGCAGTCCAGTATGAGGAAGTTTTCAAATGGGCTTTCATCGATCCTCCTTATGTCAGCTGATCAAAATGAAATATGCAAGAGAGAAAATAGAGATCTGTTCATAGCGGCGGTTGGTCAAATACTATGTTGCTGAGTTCCAGACTTCTGGTTGCAACCAATCTTAATGCTTTTACCAACTACCAAACAATGCTTATGTATGAGCATCTGGAGCTGGTTGGAACTTGATAAACAGGCCCTTGAAGGATCAATCTGCTGTAGGTGAGTGCATTCCAGATATCTTGAATGTATTACATTAAGAAGATAGGTTGTAATAACATTCTCATAGATAATATTTTTGAGCAATATACAGATTTTCTTATATGCTGGTTTCCTTTAGCTATGTTCATGGCAAACCACTGGGGTGTCTCTATTATAACAAAAAGAGTCATTCTCATTCTCTGATACATATTTTCTCACTGTTTTATCTCTCTATCACCTTTATACCTGAAAATAACCCCAATGGTCTCCATTGACAATATTGACAAGTTCCCACAATTAGCAAGAATTTAGATCCACTTGATATTTGTGAGGCAGGCAGACAGAGTACCTTGCTGGACCTAACCACAAGGTATGAGCTTCTTATTTCCTGCACCTTGAGGGTTGTCATCTTTCCAGTCGTCGAAAGCTCTTGCCTTGTCTTGGGCAGCATCATCGTCTTCATCGTCTTCATCATCGTCATCATCACTACCGTTGCCTCTTGGCTTCCACTTGTCGTTGTGCCATGAAGTATTGGCTTCTTCTATCATCTTAGCAGTTCTTTCTTGTCACTTATTCATTATCTCCATTTCCTTTAACCCAGCTTCCTCTATGCTCATAGTTGGCAATCTGAGATTTTCACAATGTACAAACGATGAGAACAACAGATAATCATATAAACTGATTAACAAATTGAAGGAACTGAGTACCGCCTTCCGTGCCCCCCCACCAAAAAAAGCACCTGTCACCACTAGCTATTGGTGGTTTAGTCATCTTTATTTGATACCTATGACTCGGTTGGAACACCCATGCAATCATCCTTTCCCTTTCACTTGTTAGGCCTCCACCCACAAGACTAGCTGATCCAAACATCAGTGGCTGGTGTTTGTGATCATGTTCCTGTGAAACCTTAGCTCGCCCCTCCAATACGTCTTGAGCAAAAGTAGCACAGGTAATAGGTGGTGCAGGTATTGTGTATCGAGCTCGAGCAACAGCATTTCGATGCCAGTCATCTACAGTCTTGGCACGAACATCAAAAACAGCCTGTGATATTTCTTTACCCCCTTCCTGAAAACAGTATAAGATCACAATGAGCAGACAACAAAAAGTGTAAACTTTTTCCCACAATAAGCCATGGTTGTACCTGTTCCTGCTGCTCTTTTATTGCAGAAAGTATTTCCTCCTCTTTCTTCAGCATTTCCAGTAGGTCAAGAGCCTAAAATATGATGCTAAACAGAATGTTGAATTCAAGAATTGCAAGCAAATAGGGTAGAGAATTAATGGAAACCAACCTTATAGATAGCCAATGAGATTGTGGGAAGCCATGCCTACAAATTTTTAAGAACGGAAAAAGTAATTAAAGTGAATCCCAAATAAGAAAGCCCCAAGAAATAACCCACATGAAGATATATGAATCCCAGGAATGGACCCAACAACAATACCCCATAGATGGTGATCGGTGAGCAACTATAGAGCAGTGCAATTGCAAATACAAAAGCGCAAATTGTAACAACTCGTCCCACATGGATAGAAAATGGGATTTGTGAGCTCCTTATAAACCCTAAGTTGTGGGTTGCCAATAACTTTCACCATGGTTTTAAGTTGAAACCGAAATTGGGTCAGCTTGTTGCTTTGGGATGTTACACATATGGGATTAATTGGTTATACATCAGTATAAGTGGGGCATTTTCTGATGGTAGCATGGTTATAGGTGCATATTACATAGCATGGTTATAGGTGCATATTACATACAGTATACGTGGTACTTCAGGAGAAGCATAATTATAAGATTTGGATCTTGCTAACGAAGCCATAAAAGAAAGCATATACTACATCTACCTCCCTTTCTTCTTCTCCATCATCATCCAGCACATCATCGTCTCTTGCATCAACTGGAGTGGACAAGGCAGTGGCTTTAGTGGAGCGCCCACGTCGTTCCTTCCACTCCTTAATTTCTAAAAGCTTCAACTCTGAAGCACGTTGGTGCTTGAACCGAGAAATCTCGAAATCACACAAACCAAAGTTAGCATTGTAGCTGATACACACCTCTTCCTATCTTCCAAAAAACAGTAAGTGGTCACTTTGGTAACCGCAGTTCAGCTTCTTTCTAACTTTTTATAAGCCTCAAGCTTCATTGTACAAGACACAAGTCTAAAATGGGCATGGCTAGGAAGCAATTTTCTGTAAAGATTCAGGGTTGAGATAATTGAATGAGCTACGAACCTTCCTAGCCCTCCTATCTGTAGTAGTATTATGACCTCCATGTAAAGATGTTTCTAACTCATCTTCAGGTACAAGCCCCATTGCCTCACAAAATGATAGAAATTCCTAGAGAGAATGCACATTCAACTTTTAGCAAGTACACAAAACACAAGACCATATTTGCATTCAATAAGCACATCCTGAATGGAAAATAATACCTGTAACTTGGCCTGGGAAACCTTCAAAATCTTTATCCTGTCATCCTGTTCAGTTTTTTCTCCATCAATTCAGCAAGATAAAATGGCACCTGTTCCTATGAGGTTTTCCAATCATGAAGAGGATCATTGTTACATTGAGCTATGCAGTAACATAACTAAGGGGTTAGGGGTTGTTTGGTTGGTTTTCCATGAAGTCTTATGGATAAAACTGTCTGTGACTATTAATCTGTGTATATGGATTGGGAAGGTCTTTTTCGTAGATGGAAGGTGCATGTTTTTAATTAGGGAGGAGCAGGTTTGGAGAAAACTTGCTTTCTCCTACTAGAAGCTTACCGAATAAACCATTTTCTGTACCATTAAACCACCGAATAAGCTATGATTCCCATTAAGCTGCTAATTGATACTTGCAAAGGTGCTAAGAAACAGGGCCTAAGTGATACATGCAAAGGTCCATATCATCCGATCAAACCAAGGAGAAAAGAAGACGAAAGCTTTTACCAAAATATACTTGAGATTAGCAGTAGCGATATCTTGCTTGGTCTCGTTAGTTGAAAACAACCCTAATTTGGCAATCATCTCCTCACACTGTTGTAATGCTTGGCATCCCCTACAGATAATGAAATTCTAAGCACGTATAGAATATTATACAAAGAAATCTATAAAGGAATCAATTAGGATACACAATATGACCTTGTCGGTGGCGAGAAGATGAATTTTGCGAGCCTGATCGAAGAGGATTGGCAAAGACATCTGAGCGAAGCCATGGCGGCCGAACACCGTGATATATATGATTACAGTATGGGGAAGAAATGGCGGGATTATTATCTATTGGTTTTCTTTTTCCATTTTCTGATAGGGTGGGTGATGGTCGAATGTATGAGTAACTTTGCCGCCGTTTGGTTGGTTTTTCCTTTTTCGTGTGAAATAATCCGTCAACAAAACAATTTAGAAGCTAAAATCATTAAACCACCACTAAATGGTTTATGGAATAAAACAGAACATATATTATATTATATATGTCCCATATACCATGACATGAGATACCAAGGCTTGATCGTGCCCGTCACTGGTCTTGTCGCTACTCGGTTATTATATAACTTAATTTAATATTATTAATTATAAACATAATATATGAATTTCAAGGTTTTAAATAACATGAGACGTAACGTGCCAGCGAGATCAAACCTTAAAGCCTACGGTGAGGCAGCGATACTTTTCAAGACATGACTTGGAGCGACAAATCCATATATCATATAAATTATTATATATATTAACATATATTTTCTACTCTTACTCATACTCAATGATTCAATGATAATAAATAACTTAAATTAGGTTGTATATTAGAAACTAACAAATAAGACATTAATTAAACAGAGTAAGAAAAATCAAAATATCATGGCATGCCACAAACTTAATGTGACGTCACACCATGATTGTTGTGACGAACTTTACTTTTATTTTTCCATTTAAAATATTTTTATTGGATGGTCAAGTTGAGGATGTTATAAAAGAAACAATAACATTGTAAAAAATGACATTAATGCTTTGACCATCCAAAAGCACACTAACTTTGTTTGGTTTAGAGGATCTATTTGTACATCACACCACCCGAAATGCATAACATGTTACTACCATTAAAAGCTTAATAAAGTTGGACTTTGAAACTAAAACATCTCTTTTCCATGTTTACGTACTCTCATCTTCAAAATTACTTCTTATCATCAGAATTCCAATCAAATATCATGTAATTATGTTGTTTGTTTAATTACCCGAAAGAAAATTTGTTGTTTTATTTTCATTTCTCTGGTCTTAATTAAATTAATACACTATTTGGCTTGAATTGAATTACATAAATACATATATAAGAATAACAACTTACTTTGTAACTATGGCTGTGGGGTCATTTTGCACTAATCTCATGCCACTTTTGAACATAACAATCCTAAAAAGCCATGGAAGACTTGAACTATAACATATGATATGAGAAGGAGTGTTAGCATCTATTTTGCCACTTGATTTACTTGGCCCTCAAGGTTACATATGGACAAAAACTTACCCTATAGAAAAACCCAATACTCCTACAATCCAAGAATAAATGCCCCAAAAATCAAATATATTATGTGTGTGTGTGTGAGAAAAAGATATATATATATATATATATATATATGATAGTTTTTTTTTTTTTTTGAGAGGTTATATATATGATAGTTGTTGTGGTAGCATCTTGGATTTTTTTTCCAAATCTTCATAGAAAAATACGAACCTTTGTTAAAAATACATCGAACATTAATTTACAACAAAATATTAAAACTTCATAAAAGCCAAATCTTTACATGAACAAAAAACAACGACCCTCTACAGGAAAGGTATATCTAAACCTTTACGGTATATCTTACAGTCTCATGGAAAATGACTAGAAATAAATACTCACCCCATGTGTCTGTATATGTATAATATTTAAAAGGATATTAAATGATGAGTAAAGGAGGTATTGACTCAAGAGGCCTCCTTCCCACATGGTAGGAGCTAATGCTATTGAAATTGCATTTAAGAAGAAAAAGAAAAAGAAGAAGTAAAAAACTTGAATCAAAGAGTGTGGTCCATGGTCTGGTGAATGGTGACTGTCGTACCAATCGATAGTAATTGTCACACTTAATTGCTTTTCCCCAATTATCCTAAACTAACTTCACCTTCTATATACCATAAACCAAGGATTGTTTAAGAATATGAGTTAAAGTGAGAAACAATCTGGATTACTTTTAATTTCATCATTAATTACTCTCATGAATTTAACTTATCATGTTGAATTCATAGGAACTGATCTATATTAGTATTGATTTTCAAATTAAATGAATCGAAATCTTTCATTGTGAGAGTAACGGAAACCATATATATTATATATTATATATAGACATGTATATATAATTTCTTTACGATATTAAAGTAAAGTAGTATTTATTTTGAAAAGGAGAAGGTAGTATATATAAAAGTGTAACTCGGGGTTTGGTTTTCTCGTGAAATTGAAGGTGTAGGAGCCTTTCGAATTGAATATGACCCCCACCCCATATAATCCATATATACCCCTGCGAGATGCTTCCGGCCAATCTATACATGATTTTGATAGCCACATGGGATTTCAGCCGCCGCCGGAGTTGTCTACACCTCCTAAACTCTCACTCTATTCACTACCTTCCAAACCACCGACACTGCCGCCCGATGGCCTTACGCCACCACTAAACACCGTGGCCACCATCCCATTCCTATGGGAGGAAGCTCCCGGAAAACCAAGAGCCACTGACGATCCACCCAAGTCCAAAACAGTCAGGTCTCTAGACCTCCCTCCAAGACTCACCACCACCACCACCACCACCACCACCGTCAGTCCTATGAATAACGGTGTTGGAATACAGATTGTACCCTCTCCGACCACCGTATTGAGTGGACCTTATGAAGGCGTGTTATACGGTTCAAACACGCTCTTGGAGTCGCCGGAGAAGGCTCCGGTGGTTTGTAGTAAGAGTAAGAGTAAGGGGAAGATGAGGATGCCTTTGAGGAAGCTAATGAGAAAAGATAGATCGCCAGTTAAGTTCAGTTCATGGAGGTGGGATAGTCTCAAAGATATGGAGGGCGGTAGAATGGAGAGATCGCCGTCGCTGAAGTTGTGTTCATGGAGGTGGGATAGTTTCAGGGATATGGGTGGTGGTGGTTCTTTATGTTCTTCATTTGATGATGGTCAGAAAGCTGTTGATCATTCGGGTGATAAGCTGGGAAAAGTTACAAGGAAAAGTAGCTTCACATTCGCCGGCGATGCTACTAATACTTCTAGCTTCCTCGTAAGTCTCTATCAAACTATTTCCAAAATTCAACCATTTACTTTATCATTTTATAATACTCCATCATTATTTGGATAAAAAATTAATTATCTTGGTTTCCTTAGTTATAAACTAATTTATGGAAAAGTAATTACCGATTTTATGAAATAACCTGGGGAGCATTTTTCCATATATTTTTAATTAAAATTTTAAAATAATCATATAATTTATCAGCTTAATTGTTTTTACTAGTCTTTCGGTAAATAATTAGTTTTTTTTTAACTAATTTATCAAACATAGTCTTAGCTCTCGTGAGTCAAGTATCTTAAAAGATCGATGGTCTAGCTAGAAACAATTTACAACGAAAAGTTTGTCCAGGTAAATCACAAATGGCTTTGCCAAAATGTAGGAAGTTTGCAACAATCGAAATTAGAAATCACAAAATGAACTAAAAAGGTCGAATATATATATATATATATATATGTATGTCTATATATTAGTGTGGTTTATGGTTTTGAGTTATCAAACTCCACGGCATGACATATTTTCTACATTTTTTAAATTTTTTGTTACACGCATACACACATATACATACACACATGTGCATAGATAATAATTTATTATATATGTATTATTTTTGGCCTTTGTGTTTTGGATTTTGAGTTTGTTCCAATATGATAATTGACAATACTAACAAATTAGTTGGACACGTCACAACTCACACGTCCAATTTAGTTTGAAATTTATTTATTTTACTTCTTAGACTATTTTTAATTATGCAATATGTATTTAGAAATTGGATGTATTGAAACTTTTTATTTTATTTGGACCACGGTCACTTTATCATCAATTTTACAATATATTTTTAAACTTATAATTATCGGATTATAAGCACAAAATATGATAGGTAGAAAACAAAAACGTGCACCAAACCACCGCACAAACACCCCTAATAATTTTGCATCTAATCGCTTTAGCGACGTTATGGAATGAAATGGTCTTTTATGCATTTTGGTTGGATTTCTAAGAGGTATTTTTACTGACCGGTACAATTGGTTGCATATTTTAATTGAACAGACGAACATGTTGGGTACCTTTAAAAAGGCAATGCCATGGAGATCACGAAGATAAGGATTGATAACTCACATAACCTCAGGATTGGTGATATGGTTGAATAACATGATGGAGTTGGTATACGAGTGTGCAAAAAGCTTGAAACGAATTATATATATATATATATATAGATGAATGGTGGTGGTTTGTTATAGTGTATCGATGATGATAAAGCAAGTGGTTAGAATTTTCCATGTTTTTGAAGTTAATGGTTTTGGTAGATGGGGTTTGTAAAAGTACGTTTCTAATTGATATATAATGAAAGGTGATTTGGTTTTGACATGAAAATTAAAGATAAGATAGCAACATGTAACGGATGGTGTTGTAAAATATGTCATGTAATAAATCACGACTTTGTGCATCGCAAAAGACCATATATTCAAGACAAGATTACGATCAGCAACGTTTTCACTTGCTACAAATAAAGCTAAGATTTGAATGAAAATGCAAAAAATGCCATTTGTTCAAGGATATATATATAGCAAGAAGAGTAATTACTAATTACTAATTACTAATTACTAATTAATTAGTGATGACAAGTCTTCTCTTCTTGTAATTGAACTTGAAGCATGCTTGCCTCAGCTTCTTTGTTCTTTCTGTCAGTTCCGTCTCCGGAACCTTCTCCATCATCCTCTTGTTCTCTTCAACCATCTCCATCTCCTCTGTTAATCCCATCTCCTACATATATATATATATTTCATTACATCATACATACATACATACATACATACATACATATATAATGACATCATTTGAATTAAAATAAAATTAAAGGGACGCACAATCCATCTTATAGAAGAGCCAAGAATTTGAATACACACGGCAGGGACGCCCGACTCATTTAATGGATGGCTATGGCTATGGCTATGGCTAGGCATGCATGTCTAATTTATAATGTCTTTTTTGATAGCATGCCCCCATTTCTGATCATAGCTGCTATTAACAATGATTGTAACAACTTTGTCGTTAATGATATGAACAAGGCCTGATCAGGTGATGGCAATGCCGAAGCCTGATAGTAGTCCCTTTCTCTTATAAATTTTTTTTAAAGTGAATGATTAATTTGTAGTAAATAATATCAAAAACCTATAATATAGCATTATATATATATATATATATATATATATATATATATATATATATATATACATGCATGCAATGCAATGCAACTAAGGTGCTTAAAAAGGGTATTATAGGAATTTACCTTAACATTTTGAATGAGAGATTTGAGGCTCTTAAGTTTTCTATGAGGCCATCTCTTTATGTTAAGCTCTCTACATCTTTTCTTTAATACCGTCAACCCTACATTCAGTTCCTTAGCTGCCATAACTATCGGCATCTCAAACAGCTTTTCTATCTCTTCCAACTCCAATGACCTCCACCTCCGCCCTGGCCTCCCACCACCATCATCAGCGGCACCAACACTAGCACTAGCCCTACCGTTATAAGCTTCACTTGTAACATAATGGCAGTCATGATCGATTGGCTTAAAATCACCACCTTTAATAATCTCATCTGTGCAACTAAGTAATGGCAAACTATCATCCCATAACTCCCACCACCCCAAATTCCGACCACCGTGATCGCTGGCAGCGGCAGTGACACTGTTATCTTTAATACTTGTAACATGGCAGTCATGATCGATTCGATGAACATCAGTAACGACATAACTTCTGTCATCATCCCACCTCTCCCGCTTCCGACCACCGTGATCGGCGGCGGAAGCAGAAGAAATGTTGGCTTCACCACTTGTCACATTGCAGTCATGAACGATTGGTTTCACATCAGTAATAACATCATTTCTGTCATGATTGCAACTAAATAATGGCAACCCATTATCATCACACCAATCCGATAAGCTTAAATCTTCAAACGGATCAAAATCTTGAAACCCTAACTGATCATAATTAATGTAGTTCTGATGATCAAGCATTTCCATATAATGATCTTGTTCCATTGTTTGATCATCCCTGCAAAAAGCAAACTCCATTAAAACCAAATACGATTCAAACTCATGTATATATAGAAGTAGTTAATTAGGTAAAGTTGGTACCCTGGAAGAGGTGGGTTTTCTTCATCAAAGTGGTGAAACCAATGGAGATGATTGGGGTTTGCAGTTGCAGGTGGATCCATTTGTGATGGAGAGGGGTAAGAATGTGATTTATATAAAGTGGAGGGGGGAGATGGCGATTAATGGGATATGGGAGATACGTGAACATTGAAAATTGTAATGAACTGAAACGAGGCATAACATTTTCCAATTAAGTAATTATTACATATATATTTTCATCATTCATATTTTAATTTTTACATATATTCCACTTCTTTTAGCTAGAATTGATGGATGATATATTTTTTTTCAATTTATTTTTTAACATATAATTATATAATATCCGAGTCCAATCGTATCAAATATATTGTTTGTTTTATCTACTTATAATAATTCAAACTACGGTTATAAAACATATCTGATAGAGAAGATAATCAATTTTTTATATGATAATTTTTATTTTCAATCTTTTAATTAATGTGGGATATTATTCTTCTTCTTTAAAATGAAAAAAATAAATACACTATTTGAGACTAATTTTTGACTTTATGAAAAATGACAAAAACAGGAGATGGTTTAATTGTTATGTAAATATTTAGTGGTTGGTTTAAAAATATATAAATATAAATATGATTAGATTAGGACAAATAATAAATGCGTAAGCTATGTAATCGAGTATTTAAGCCGTCACACGGCATATGCCATGCACGTGCTTCTCACACCAATGATGACAACTCCTCCTCCTCCTCCCGGTGGATCTTCTCCGCCCACCACCACCCTACCCTACCCTACCCTCGCCGCTGCTCCACGTCATCATACTTGAAAATAATTTATATTTCATCAAAAAAGTTTTATTTTGATAATTGTAGTACATTTCCAATTTAGGCCAAAGTCACGGATGAGATTTAGCTCTGCTACAAACTGCACATTTGAATTAAATAGAATCTAAATAACACAAAAGCCAATTATTTATTATTCTTGCCTTTTCCAAATAAATTAAAATATAAGTTATATATAATATAATAAAAAGAGTCGACGGACTCTTCTTGTCTTCTCGGTGCCCGTGGGTGACAGCCTGCACTATGAGTGCTTGCTGCAACGCTTGTTGCCTCGTCTCCAAACCCCCTCTATGGTAATGTATTTAAGAATAAAAAGTATCAATAATACATTTAGGTACCATTTTTCATAGATACTTATATATTTTAATTCGTCATATATATGAATGAAGATATGTTTTTGGTTCTAGATACGAATTTTAATTTTATTAAAAAATTTATCGTCAATGTCTTAATTGATATGTTCTTCTTTTTTTTTTTTTTTTAAATTGTGATATATTATTTCTTTAGTATGTTAGTATATATATCATGAAAAATAATATTGTGTTCATTTATATTATATATATATATATATATGTGATTGGCAATGAACACCTACTAGTTTTGGTTTTCGATTCAACATCTCCAATGTTTGAATCTTAAAGAATGCTACTAATTTATTTAGTCATTGTTTGACAAATATAGCTTATTTTTTAATTTGTGATTTGGATGAATATAAACTAACTTATAGGATTGTGTGATCTAAAACATGTCTTAATCAAATGCATGAAGCATTGCATTGTATAATTGTTTGTGAGTGGATGGTTAATTAAATTCGTATACATAAGACATGTTTTAATTAAAAATAACATAGAAAATATAAAGAAGCGTGTATATTTTCGAATTTAGTAGATATTATTAATTCCTAAAGACCCAAATAAAATATATATGAAATTTGATTGTGTATGAGAACAAGAACAAGAAACTAACAAGTAAAAAGAGAGATTGATGGGTTTTGTTTGTGTCGTATATAAAAAAACCCCAAATTTGCCTTTTCATATTTCTATTTGCATAAACATGAAAATGAAAAAGAAGAGCAAATAAGCAATAGAATAGAGGGATATGCTTATGCTATCCTCCATCATCACTTCCATTTTTCTGCTCCCTTTCTCTTTCTCTTTCTCTCTCTCAAACGCTTCCCAATTTTCATGCATTCTTTTCTTCGACAAACAAACCCACAAAATATGTTGTCTCTTTCTAGTGGTCTCTTCAAAATACTGATAAAAACACACCATTTCATTCTCTGCAAAATCTATGCTTCCATCATAAATAACTGAAGTCGAAAAGGCAGCAGCTTCTTGGGGGGTCCTCATCCGGTAAGCCCAATTCATCTTCTTTACTGGCAAGAAATCATAATCATATTGGGTATATCGATTTCTTGATGATGCTATTTATGTGTTTTCTTCTCTAGTGGCTTATTCTTTATAGTTGATAACACAAGTGTGATTGGTTTTGGTTTCTTGAATGTTACAACTCTCGATTTTTCTTTTTGTGTAATGTTGTTGGGTCAGCAGATCTCTGATTGGTTTAGGTTTAAATTTTTGTGCTTTTTTCTTTTAAAGATTTTTGAAAACCATGATATCCATAGATTAATGGTGCTTCATCTGGCAGCATCCACCCTTAGGATTTCAACTTGGTTATACCCACCACGTTCCAATCATTTGGCAAGCCTAAAGTAATGTTGTTCTGAGTGTTTTTTGTTCTTTTTCTTCAAGAACCAGTTAGATTTAGGGTTTGTTTTTGGGCAAGATTTCATACTTTTGTGGTTTTAAGGAATTGCATTCCATTTTCTGACAAAATGTGGGAATCTGCTTTCTTTCTCTATTTAGGGCATAATGAGAGTGTAATTCTCAAGTTTTTTAAACCTTTTGATGTTTTTAGGAATTTCCTTGAATTGTTTATCTGGGTTTGTGGCACAAGTATTCAAAAAGAATTATTCTTGGCTGCTCTTTATTTTTTTTTAATTTTAAATTAATCATGTAACCAACATGAACTGATTCGCAATGCCCCCTGCTTTAACCAAGAATTCTTGATTCCACGGATCTCTGTCTCCAACTTAAGAATCTTACACTGTTTCTCGAGAGACCCGAGAAACCATGCCCCTGCAGGGCTGAAGTTTCGCCTCTGAGAGACCTGATAATCTCTTAAATGTGACTTAAACGTCCGTTTAGCCGCATCATGAGCTTAGTGGGACTAACAGCTTATCTGGTCGCCTATGAATGACTGTTTGGTAGTGGCTTAATGATATAGAAAGTGGCTTATCCAGTAAGAGCTTCTCGGGGGAGCTTTATGTAGAAAGCCAAGTTTTTTCTAAACTTGCCCCCCAATTTAAAAACATGCTCCTTCCATCTATGATAAAAACCCCCAAACAAAAATCTTCCCCAACCTATATAGACAAATTAATTCACACAGACAACTTTATCCATACGGGAATTAATAGAAAACCAACCAAACAAACCCTTTAGTTTTTGTTCATGGCTGAGGTTAGTTTACTCTGATGTTTGTGATTATTTCAGGTATTTTGGAAAGGAACTCTTTTCCATGGAGACATTATCTTCGTCTGCTTCAATGCCTTTTCCAAGAGAACCGGCTAATTACGATGAGATTGCTATGCACCAAAGCTTGCTATTCTCAGACGGCCTTAAGGCATTTTCCCCCCCTTCTTTTTGTTCAACAACAATCTATAGAGAAACCCGATTAAACTGTATTTGCTGCATTTCCTTTCAGGATTTAAAGAATCTGAGAAAGCAATTGTACTCTGCTGCTGAGTTCTTTGAACTATCATACACCAATGATGACCAAAAGGAAACGTGAGTAATTTGTTAAGTTAACTCGCTCTTTCTTTCCATCGAATCCTTGAGCTAATTTCGTAAAGAAATTCATATCATATCGAATACATTAGGTAATGGGTTTGACCTCAAAAGTCAACATATATCTTTTTTCTTGGATATGGGTTGTAACTAGTCTATAAGGATGTAAACGTTGTAGCTCAATCTTGAAGTTGTCTTCCAAAAAAATTCTTATGAATTTGTTGACAGAGTTGTTGACACATTGAAAGATTATGCCATCAAGGCTCTAGTCAATACGGTGGACCATTTGGGCGCTGTTTCATATAAAGTTAACAACTTATTAGATGAAAAAGTTGAAGAAGTTTCTGGAACGGAGCTTCGAGTATCATGCATTGAACAGGTACTCTTCGATTTCCTCATTTTCTAGTGTTGATATCACACCATCTTGCCATTTTTACATCCTATTGACCTTTCTAGAAAACCCGATAACGCTCAATGATTCAGTAATAAGCAATGTCAAACCAAACGACCCCAGTATATCTCACCATCCCACCTGAATATGTGGGGTCTTGTTGAAGGGGGGGGGGGTCTTGCATTTGTGTCTAATTTTGATTCTACTTGTTTGATGGTGCAGCGACTAAGATCGTGTCAAGAGTATTTTGATCACGAAGGCATCTCCCAGCAGTCGTTGCTAATAAATATTCCTAAATACTTTAAGAGATACGTCTTGCCTGGTACTCGTTTCTATTGGTCGAGTACTTGTGTCCTTTGAGTATTCCAATGTTTGACTATTTGTTAAATATCTACTATACCCTTCAACAAAAAAACAAAATAAACGAATCAAGTGGACCCATTTAAGTAATTTTGATTTGAAAACTTCCCAAAAATAGAAATGTTCCAATTTTCGTTGATTTTTCACTTCCATTCATCGTGGTCATAATGGCTGATGTGTTTTGACTAATATTCAGTTGGAGAAAAGAAGCAAGATGGTGCCAAAACTAAATTAAAGCACCAAGGATGCCTCTTGGATGATGAAGATGATCGGCATGAACATAAGAACGGTAAAGTTTTGATGACATCATCGATTATGAATCAAGATGACGGTGGCTTATTGTTTTCTCAATTTTTTTGGCTTACACAGGAGTTGTTGAAGCTATGATTAGAGAAAAGCGCAAAACGTTAGTCCGGTAAAGCTTCAATCATAACATTAAGTGCATTAAACGGCCATCTTAGCGTTACAATTTTTTTTGAAATGCAGAAAAGGACGATCTCCATCTCCTCCACGGGATTCCCAGCAACCGGAATTGTTTTCCTTTGTTGGCACAGTTGCAAGAAAAGATATTGGTTCGTATATGTTAATTTTGCGTATTCTTGGTGTGTGTAAATGTACCTTTTTGTTTATTTTGATCTGCATGCTTGTTCTTGCATGCTCTTGAACTGATTTTATTTGAAAATCGGTGATTCAGAGCGAAGATCAGTTTCACCACGTCGATTTCCGCTCTTGCGTACTGGATCTTTTTCTAGTAGGTCGACACCAAACTCGAGACCGAGTTCAAGATCTTCGACGCCCAATCCCAGTCGGCCAACAACTCCAACCTCAATCGCGCGGCAACAGGTAAGTTATGATAAGATATCTTCTTTTGGTTCATATTTCCAAACACATCATCCTATTGCATCCAATGCCAAGATGTAGGTCCGTTATTCTAAACCATGGGTGTCTTGGCTAGCTTGCATGCATTTGGACTAACGGGTGATTTCCGTCCACACTCAGCAGCGGGGTTTTGCTAACTTGTTGGTATAATGATATATGTGCAGGGTCGAAAATCAGTTTCAAGTGATAGGAATGGTGATGGAGAGATGCATAAAGAAGCAGATGAGATCCCGAGCAAAAGCAAACGTCTGCTGAAGGCACTGCTGAGCCGAAGAAAGTCGAGGAAAGACGACATGCTTTACACTTACTTGGATGAATACTGAGACCCCTGTAATTGGTTTAAATTTGTTGTTGCATGTGTATTGTATTTAATGCAGATGATTATGTAGATTGTTATTTTTCTAAAAATGGCATTTGATTGTAAGGAAACTCACTCACTTAACCAAGGGGGTGTTTGGGATTGCTTATAAAAACAACTTATTGACTTATTGCGGTGTGACACTGGTAATAAGCATTTTATAGGGTTTGGATAAACTGTTTATATCGGTGTCAAACTGATAGATAATAAAGAGTTTCTGAATTTGGAATAAGTTGATAAAAGGACTTTTTATAGAAAAACATAAGTTGTTTTAAACATCATCATGCGGAATATGTGTGTATATATTTGTGTTCAATGGTTTGATTTATTATGAAAACAAAAATTATTATTAAAAATCAATTTATATAATAAATTTACTCCACATCTTGAAGAAAAGAAGATGGCATATATGATGATGATKATGATGATATAGTACATAGGACGGAGAATATTCCATTTCCGAGTGGGATATTAACATTTCTAGTTTACACACTCAACCGCCTTCTTCCTCAGTCATCACTAACCCTTCTCTCTCTCTCTCATGGGAAATTCATCAGGTAACCTCTCTGCACTTGGCCTATGGCCAATTTTTTTTTTTTTTTTTTTTTATGCTTTTCGTTCTACTTGCCTCCGATTTAGATCTAGGTTTCTGTGAGTTGCTCAGGCTCAGGCAGTATTCAGTGATTTAAGTTTGGAACTCTTGTCTTGATGATGGAATTCAATTCCTTAAATTCCATTCCAAACTGTCGGTATATGGCTTTAACTAGAATCACTTCTTCTCAACCTGTCGTTTACAAGCAAGTCTTCAATTCCTAAAAATGAATCAACATACACGATACACAAACCTACATATGAATTTTAGATGATGCACAGATTTTCTCAACATCTCATTTTACAACAAGTTTGTATCACTTTAATGAGTTGTATTTGAAATACTTTCAGGTAACTTTTAACATATTCACTGCAAAAGCACCACAGTTTATGTTAGTTGATGGTTATTAAGTTAACTGTTGGCTAATAAGTTAGTTGATAGTTGATAAATTAATTAATGAATAAATTAAGCTGTAAAATCATACTTATAACTTCCAGTTTTGCTTTTATGGATTCTACAAGAATTTGTGAATTCCAAAGGCTCAAAGTGTTCAACGTTTTATTCCAGTATTACTATGACAAAACACAAAAAAGATCAACAGCGTTCAAGTATAATCAGGAAGAAAAAAAACAAAGTGAGCCTCGGGCTTTTGCCTTCTGCTCCATAGATTCCCTCTGGCTAGATTATGCCTTATCCTTGCACTTTGGTTGTATATAAAATGCTATACTAATTGGTACGCTTTTGGGTTGATTTCCAATGCCACTTGAACCCCCACCATCGACCTTCTGTATCTGTTTGTATGTATTATGATGTTATGTTGTTTATGCTTTCTGCATTTCGGGATACATCAACTGTCATCCTGGATATGTTCCAGAAATTTACCTGCAGGGTAATTTGGTTTTGGGTGGTTAGATTAGGCTTCCATCCAAGATTATTGGGTTGAATGCACTTGGTTTAAGAATGGATCCCCTACCATTAGACAGACCGGCGTTCCTCAATATAATATCATCATCATGTGAGGGCAGAGCCTACCCTGACTGGCCTTATACGTCTTGGAACTCTTCGTATGTACTCAAATACTAATACAAGGATGCTAAATATGTATAGCATGATGCGGCTCAGCGTTCCAGCAATGCCAGTCATGATAGATCCGTTGTTGCTTCCTCCTTCCACCTTATATGCGTTAGAGGACATCCAGCTCACTGACCAGAAGCCTGAAAATAAAAAAGAGCATAGTGGTTTATTATGATCATTATTCTGGTATTCAAGTTATGCATGTATCACAACTTGTGTTCCATAACTTCTACCAGCCATATGAAGATTTTTAGCCTAATTGAGAACTGGGCTCTTATGTTGACTTGACCAATCTTACCAGTGCTCTTCCCGGACAAATTCGTCCAGTCATGTGGGCTTGTCTTGCCTTCTGATGCCCGTATCAATTCAAGTAGAGCTTCATTGACCTGAATTTGCAATGATGCACAGGTATTAGTGAAACAACACCAGCTTGATTTCATATGTGGCCATGCCAATTTGTCATACACCCAATGCATAAACCATGAGGCAAATGCTGTGGCGAGATCCATAGACCCAATGCATAAACCACGAGGCCCTCACCCAATGTTAAACATCCTCCAACTCAACCTCATTAGCATCGAGAGGCACCTCATAAGAACATCGACATAGAAAGGTAAGAGTCCATCCTACTACCTGAAGGATGCATGGCCTAGCAGGACTCTGAATTATTTGGTGGTCTTAGACATTTCCAAGGACATGACTCCTGATAAGAATAAAGGAGATGCAGAACCAAGGTAGCAGTGTTTGGTAGGGATTAGTAGCTAGTGTACATGTGGACAGGGATTAGTAGCAGTGTTTGAGATAGGCTAGCAAGCGGTAATATAAAAGGAGTGGATCTTGTCCTAATAGTTTCCAGTACTGCATTGCAAGTGGTTTAATGTTTCTTTGCTTGTATTAACATATTTCCCTCTCTTGCGTTCTTCCTATCCTTACTGTCTCAAGACCTGTTTGCATACACACGGTCGATACTTTTTTTCATCCGTCTCATACTCTGCCCTTTCTTTTAAATTATCCAAAACTTCGATTTTTTCCTACTTTTTTTGGTTTCACCCTTGACTTCACAACTTTCTGCAAGCTGGGGGTATGTATGGAAACAACCTCTATCCCCCTTGGGGTAGAGCAAAGGTGCGTGTACATCCTACCCCCAAATTCTTACTTCTAGTGGAATATCTTGGGTGTGTTTCGTTTGGTTCATAAGATAAGCATGATGGCTTACTATGTTACACCAACAAAATAGCTCGAAAAGGAGGGGAACAACTAATTTATGTCACATGATTACTAGTTTATGAAACACAGAATTTAGAAAGTGTCTTATAGTTTTGGTTAAAACGAAACTGATAGCTTGTCAGATAGCAAATTGAACATTATATATACCTCTTTGGTCCTCTCATGACTCACAAGATGACCTCCATGAAGTTCTATCAACCTTGCAAGTGGATATAGTTTCTCTGCAAGCCTCCTTGCATGAGATACTTGCGCAATAACATCAAATCTAAACATCAAAGCACCGTCAGTTTCTAAATAGACACATGGTTGTGAAATGGAAGCATGAAACTATCATCAGTAAGAGATAACTAAGCTATACCTCCCATGAATGATTGATATCAAAAAACCTTCTTTGCGAATCATTTCTAGTTCTATTCGAGAAATTTTGTGTGTCCAACAGGCATTAATCTGACCATCAAACCCATGATTTGATTGCATCCCACTTGCTGATATCGCTTTAACATATTCCTGAAGAATGTTTGATCAAGAACCAATGGTTTGTAATGCAATTTTTTAGAATCTACCTCAAGATTCTTTTTTTAATTGTAAAAACATGATAAAATAGTTGAGCTGCCGAATGTTGGTTCATTAGTGTTCCAGATAACATAATATGTAAGTACATCCGCATTCAATTCTTACTTGGTATAGTATTGCTCTTCTTGTTTCAGGTCCAATATATTCTTCAAGATATTCCTGCACGGCAGAAAATACAAATTGTTAGCATCATAGCAGGAAGAATAACATCTCTGCTTTTCAAATCAGAGAAGTGAGTCCATGAAGTGATTTTAGTGTTAGAGACAAAGAACCAAAAGGATATGAAGCACTTCAATACTAAAGAATTTAGGGCTAAAAGACTAATGCCAAATCTTCCCTCTGCCACCTCATCAATCATGCCTTAAAAACACATACTTCTTCCAACCAACAAAATACAAGCATTCGAGACGGAAGACGAGAAGCCGGCCAAGCAGTTGCTTTTAAAAAGGCAAGCTGATGAAGAATACTAACAGTGTCAAGACTTCAGTTGAGGAGAGCTGTTCACAAGTAGTGGTTATGAGCTCTTTCTTATTCCGGTTCAGAAGAGGTAATTCACTAGTGGTCAAATGTCTAAAATGTCTTTCATTTGAACAAAATAAAGTGAGCACGTAAACTAAAATAAAAGCTAGAAATATCAAGCAACAATTACTAACGGGTAAAAAAGGTAAATTCAGATGGAAAGCTTACCAAAAAGAACATTGGCTTTTTTTGGAACAAACCGAAAAAGAAAGTGTTGGAGGAAGATTTAGGTTCTATTTGTCTTTGGTCTTTTAACTTCCGATTTCTAGGTCCCAATTAGATGATTGATGTGATTATAGGTATCCATTATATTTTAAATAAACATACCAACAAAGCGGACAGAGAGCATAGTTCACGCAAAACAGTTGTTTTTGTCCTCTTTTAAATATCCCATGAACTATTTCTACATTACAAAAGTCATATGTCAACCTGTGTGTAGTGAGTGTCTAGGTCAACGGCTGCTCTTTGCTCTGGAGTTTTCGCCCTCAAGAATCGAATTGCAATGGAAAAAGTTCGACGATCAAGCTGCAAAAAGGAAAAAGAAATTGAGACATGAAGTAGGAAGCACCAGGTCTGCAAGCTGAAGAGAATTTCTTTCAAAACAAGGCCTGCTGCTAATTTGTAAAACATTATAATTCCTTTATATTCGTATATTGTCGTCATATATCAATTTTTAAATCGTATCCACCATGTATGTGCACTTGAGATGACTTTCTTTAATGTAATACCTTCAGAATCTAGTTTCTACTTTCTAGGAAACTGATTGTATTTTATCTGGAATGACAATGCAGAAAGCAATAAGCAGCAGCTAAAGACAAGTAGATCAGGTTCAATCTTGTGCCTTCAGTTACTATACTCTTGTTACCTTTTCTTGTTCATGACATTTGCATATAGCTATGTTAAAAATAAACCAACTTCAGATATTCAGATAAGAAAAATACCAGTTCCAGATTATTCTATAGAATTGCTCAATCAGTAACTAATGACTTAAAAGCTATGTTCCTTACATCATATCATGGTTAATAAATACATAGGCTACGATCCCTTGGTAGGAGTTAGATTGACAAAATATGTTATCACTTATTCCAAACATACCAGGGAGATTACTTAAAAGACAATTATGTTATTTCCTTAGGCGATAATTAGCCAGGGAAAGGCAATCCTGATATTACCTTAGGCAACTACTATATTTCCTTAACAAGAAGCTCTATAAGATAGGTTAGGAGGATTGAGGAATTAGGAGGTATGCTTAATTTGATAGAAGTTTACTGAATATTTGGTTATGCATCTAGGAGAGAAGCTTAACTCTCAAAAGCAAGTTATTTTGATATTCAATGGGTAAAATGCATCAAAATGCAACAAAGTTTGGTTTAGTTCATATTTAGTGTAATGAATGATTTTTTGCAATTGATGTAACAAAGTTTCAATATTTCCTATTTTATACCTAAATTGACCAGTAAGCTACTTATCTTGTAACATTTGATAACATATGAAATGTTTATGAAAGAGTTGCATCGAAGTGGAAGATAAATATAACATTCACGTCATCAGATGTTATATTACATAAGAAATTTTCAAAACTTTATTACATTGATTGAGAAATTTTGAAGCTTTATTGCAATAAATAGGAATTGTTTGAGAAAAAAAAGTCTTTGTTACACTGAATAGGAATTGACGCACTTAGTTGTATTTTGATGCATTTTGACCTTCTTCAATCGTTGTTTATGATCAATAAAGCATTTGGGTTCTACCAAAAGCTCATTAAACAGGAATCCAAGTAGTGCCAACCAAAGATAAGTTGTACCTTGGGAAGACATTCATAGCCTCCACCAGTTACATTCAGTAGAGCCAAAGATAGAAGTCTATCTGGGAAAACGGCAGCCAGTTTGGAAGCTATCATACCACCTGCGTAATAGAAATAAACTCAAGCAAAAAATCTTATGTCCAGCCAAAAAAAATCATGCTTCCCTCCATGTAATCCTAAAACATCACTATACTTACAAACTCAGTTCTAAGATTCATATATGTTCAAATAGGCAATGCATTAAATCACATTTTGTCAATGAACTGAATAGCATAGTTGACAATAAACAAGCTTGTGAAATATATAATAGAAACAAAAACACATAGTTTTTGCAACTTTTAGAACAATTTCCAATCAAACACCTTATAGTTTCAGGAAACGAACTATATCCAAGAAAATCGTAGCTAATGATGACATAAAACATAAATCTATAACTTGTGACTAACCCATTGAGTGACCAACTACATGAGCTTTCTTCCAACCCAAATGGTCCATCAGAGCAATTGCATCTTTAGCCATGATCCTCGTTCTGCAGCCAGCATACAAGTTATATTCCGTTACTCAAAGCACACACACACATATATAATACATATATGTGGTAATCGATAGTCCATCCAGCCTAAATTGCAGAGCAATATACCCGTTTAATTTGAGAGAGGTAGAATACCAAAACCACATTTTATTCTTTAAGAAAACAAAACCAAGCCCAACTGATCCCAATAGTCCAACAAGACTTATTAGCAATTAAAGACCTCCATAAAAGCTAAAAGGTTGAAATAAAACCAAATGGCAAGTAAAGAAGAACAGTTTTATCCTGCGCACCACATATATCAGCTATGAGCTACCAAACAGTAACTCCCTTGAGCTGCAAATAATCCCTTTAACTCAAACATAACTTTTAGAATGTCAAACGAAGATCAGTCCTATAAGCCAAGTTGACACTCGTAGAGATAGGGATATCCATCTTGCTGCCAGCGACAACCATCACCACTCCTCCCAAATCTAGTGATGCAAATTACAGTTTTCTAAAAGGAGGGTGTGAATTTTAGGTTTTATTTTTTCTCCAAAAGAAATCTCAAATTCAAGTAAAGTAGCAAAATAAACCCAAAAAGAAGATGATAAAAATACCTCATAATCATAGAATAAGCAAGATAAACCCAAAAAAAGATGATACAAAGCATTAAAGATAACAACTATAGCGAGATCCTTACGTATATTCTGATTTTTTTGTTGGTATGGAGCTACGACCTACTCCTCGATTGTCAAAAACACACACCTCTATACCCTTGGGATTGTACCCATCGTCAAAAGAGCTCCGATTATCGTCGTCGTTTGGTTTTAGCGTCCCAATGAGCCCCTCGATTTGTGGGTTCCACGAATTATGGGTGGCAGCCAATCCTGAGATAGACACAGAAAAGTCATATCAGAAGTTCAATAGGATTATGGTTTAGGGAAGGGAAGAAAGATAGAGATAGGAATAGGAATAGGAATCGGAAATACCTATGATCATTAGAATTTTGACGGGGCCAGCGCCGTAGGTTCGGTAGAAAATCTTTATACCATTGTTGATAACTGCATCGACACCGGTCTGGTAACTTCCGACGTCGCAGAGCGGCATCGTTTGTTCCCTCACAGAATTTTCAGTAATGATGACTTTGGTGAGAGAGAGAGAGAGAGAGAGAAGGGAGGTGTGAAATTATTAGTATTTTAAAGGAAAATAGCGGAAGAAATATACTAATCTGGAACGGTATTAGAATTCGAAAAGCAGAAAATAGAATCATTGTGTTCTTTGTTTCCTGGTCCAATCCATATCAAAAAAAAAAAAAAAATTAATTGTCGTTTCGAAAAGCATCATATATTTTCTCAATTATAAAAAGTTGTGTTCTTTAAGTTTTGGGTAGAAAATTAGGTATCCTTTCATATTCAAGTTTTATGTAGCTTTGAATTTAGTGGGTATTGCTTTCCATTTCCTCATTACAATTGATTCATGAAGACAAGCATCATATCTATTAATGCTCTCTAGACTCATTCCAAGTCCCTTTTACGTGCTTATTCTTGTTTGTGTGAATCTGCATTGTTTATTAGACCAACCTTTAAGTTATAATAATCTTCACCTTTTGATAAAATTTCCATTTAAAAAAAAACCCCCATTTTTGTAGGTTAAAAGATCAAAAGAGCCTTCAATACAATTGATAGCCGTTTCTATTACTTTGCATGTCTTGATTTCTATTTGGGTTCCTGTTTAACATACTTGCAAATTGCAATCTCTATTTTCATTGATTCTCAAAAGTATATCAAAACATCCATAGGTTTTACCTTTTCACCCTCTTACTATGCAACTTCAATGTTTCAAATGAGAGATGTTAGACAACAAGTCTAACAAATTCATTCATTAATATTGGACTTGCTGCTTAAATTTATTTCTGAGTAAAGACAATCTCCTTTGAAAAGGGAACTTCTGATCCTTGATCCCCAGTTTCTCCATGTAAAATACAATCTTCTTCAAGGTTTCAATCACTTGTTCACTTTCATGCCCAAATGCTTTTTCTTGTATGCTCAGATTCCTCTTCAGCAGCTCCAACATCTCACCATCATCTCTTCCAACTCTTTTCTGAATGCATATTAAACACTCCAATGCTTCCCCTGATAATACAACATATGTAAAATTATGGTATACAACATACATACACAACTCTAAGGTGCGTTCAGTAATTTACTAATCTTGTTCCTTCTCCTTGATTTTTGTCCCTCTCATTCCTGTCCTATCCTATCCTGGTTTAAACGTCTAACAACAAATTATCGGGAAATTTACATAAATAGCCAAATTCTTACGCATAAAGCTCATGCATATGTGTAAGAATTGGTTTTTGGCAAAAAAAAATAAGAATCTTTACGAGGATTGGCTATTTAATGAAATTGGTTCCTAACATGGCTATAAAGTGAAAAGAGTTGCGTGAATTGGCTATTTTTGTCAATTTCCCTAAATTCTTAATATGCTCAAGTTTCATCCCATTAAGGTGGCTTTCACTAATTATTTCTGTTTTGCTTGGGTAACTTTTCAGTTTATATTTAGTCTCCATTTCTGCTTGACATCAATTGTTTCGATAAAAAACTTATATTGCGTTTTCCAGAAGAAAGAAAAAAATAAGTACAAGGCTGGAGCAGCTTACCAACGTGTAAAGAGGCATTTCCAAATGCTTTCTCACGAATCTGCAACACCTCAAGCGCCATTTGCTCGGCTTCTTCATCCTGCTTCAGGTTATAGAGAGTTACAGCCAGCTGTAACATTGCAAAGGTGATGGAGGGATCATCAGGGCCCACAGTCTTTTTCAAGATTTGTAAACTCGATCTCAGGAGGCGCTCAGCTTCCACGTAATTCTTGGATCGTGAATATGAGGTTGCCAGATTTGTAAGGTGGGTGACAAAACTAGGATCTTCTTCTCCTTTGTATTTCTTGGTGATGGACAAGCATTCCTCCAGAAGCTGTCGGCCTTCCTTTTCTCTGAAAATAACACGAGGACACTAGTAATGAAGACAAGAGAACTTCAGTTGTATTCTATTTTGTACTTATTTTACTTGACAAACGCGTTTTTAACCTACATGACATTAGTTGATTTTGATGCGACACTTTTCCCACTTAATCAAGAATTACAATATACTTGACAAAGTGACATCTACGTCATCAATAGTTACAAAATCTACCCGTTATCGGTCAAAATGGGGTACGAAATAGAAAAAAGTTAACGTTTGTTACACTAAGGGTCTGTCTGTTAGCAGCTTAACGAGCTTAATGTGGCTCACAGCTTATTCGTCAGCTATACATGATTGTTTGGTAGTGGGTTAATGATATAAAAAGTGGCTCATTCAGTAAGTTTCTAGGGGAAGTTCTATGCAGGAGGCCAAGTTTTTTCCAAACATTCCCCTCCTAATTAAAAAAAATTCCTTCCATTTATGAGAAAACCCTCCCAAAATAAAAACTTTCAGCTCTATACAGACAGATTAATCCACACAGACAGTTTTAACTATTCAAGACTCGATGGAAAACCAACCAAACAGCCCTTAAATAGAAACTAGGTAAACTTTGTTGTATTCTGACGCAATATGGCAGGTACTTTATGTGTAGATTGACTTCATGTGAAACAACTCAGAGAAATAAATCATACCTTCCTACTACATGAAGCAACTCTGCTAAGTCAATCCTTGTCTTCTCCAATATGCTGTCATCTAAATTCATACTTTCTGAATGCTCCAGCACCTGAAGAGCATCCCTGTACAGGTCGATGGCTGCTTCTGCGTCTCCTGTTATTAAAAGCACAATCAAATTTCATATAAAATACATTTGTTTTCTGATTGAATCAATAAAACTGAGAACCAACTTTCTGAGTTTCCTACAGAGTAAAAGAGGTAAACTTTTAGCTCGAGAATTGGGAGAATTGTGAATTATTTTATCAACTGCATCTACAATGGAAGTTAAGGTGAGAAGCGTAAGAAGGAATCTGGACCCTTGATCACTTTTAATCTCACCCCCACCCCATGAATTGCGCTTCTCACGGGAATTGATCCGATTCATCTCGGTGCACCGAAATTAGTGTTGATTTTTAATTAGGATTGATCAAGGTTGGAGATCCTTTCTTAGGGGCCGTTTACCAAACGCTTACTCAGGTAAGTGCTTGCTAAATCACATTACCTTACCGGATGAATATGACAAAGACCAAGAATCTTACTCGGTAAGAGCGAATGCAAGGACCTAGAGTCTTACCCGGTAAGTAATGGAGACGATTCTTACCATGTTTAACACTTACCGGGTAAATTGTTGCATACGATGTCATTTTGATGGACTAAAATCTTACCCGGTAAGTAAGTGATAATGTTAAACTTTACCAGTAAACGCTTACCAGGTAAGTGTTTGGTAAACGGCCCCTTACCCTTCTCACCATAACTTTCATTCTCACCAAAACCCAACCCGATATATATTCGGAAAAAATAAACAAAAAAACAAGAACTTGCCTTTTGCACATTTTGCATTGGCTAGAGAGCACATGCCCATTCCGACTCTTTCGTCATCTTTTCCATATAACTTGGTGTAAATGCCTATGATTCTAAGCTTAACCAAGAGAAGAAATGAGTGAAACCAAAGATCAGATCAGTTCTATTCATATTTATAGATAAAAGGAAAGATATCATATGCATGAGTTTTGTATAAAAAGAACAACCTCAAGAAAGCGGTTCCGGCATCTTCAGCCTTTCCTTCTTCCATTAAAAGATTGCCGAGAGCGTTCAAAGGTACCACTAGTTCCTTGCTTTCGGCTCCCATATTAGACTCCAATATAGAAATAGCACGATGGTACATATCGATTGCCTTTGTCGCTCTACCAGCAGAACCAAGAGCCTTGCCCATCCCCAATAATGGCATAACAAGATAAGTGCTATTAACTCCTAAAACAAGTTAACACAAAAACAACACCCCAAACAATCACCACCAAATACATTGAAAAGTAACTAGTAAAAGCTAAAGAATAAGTAACAGCCATCAGGCCAATAAATTCAACACGACAACCAAGTAGTGAAGAATATTTCCATTAGACTACGTTTGGCAAACTAGCTGATAAGCTAGTTGTTGACTAATAAGCTAGGAAATTAGCTGTTAGCCGATAACTAATCATGTTTGGCAAAAACTAGTTGATAAGCTAAATGACAATGTAAAATGGAAGGACATGTTGAAAAATTAATAGGAAAAGTATAAAGGGTATTATTGAAACATTGAAACACTAAGTAGCTTTTCAAAAAGCTAACTTAAGGCCAACCAAATGGGATTTTTTCAAAAAAACAAGAAAACAAGCGAGCTTACGGTTGGCAAAGATGGGCTTAAGAGTAACATCCACGGTAAAATTCAATACCATCAGATTGCTTTTATAAGTCATCATTAATAAGTTCCAGACACATAAGAACCAATCAAGTGGAACCTTACGTGTGGCTTACAGATACAAATATTAGCATGTTTCTTCACAGTTTACCAAGTGGGTAACTTGATCATATGGTTAGAGGAGATCCAGGATTTAGTTAAAAGAATTACCCATCAGTTTTAAACATATTCTTCAAGATAATTATGTTTTAATCTACAAAAATAACTTTAGGCTGTTCGCTGCAAGTAAAGGAAAACCAAATCAAAATGTGCCTACAATGAAATAACTCAAACATCAACGGAACTAACAATCAGTACATCAAAATATTAGATGGAACCAAAAGGTATTAGCCCAATGGTACTCACGTTACTGGTAGATCCCAACCTCCTGGAGATCAAGGGTTGATGCCTCACCAAAGGTGATGAGTTTATGTAAGATTTGCCACGTATAAAATATACTTGCAAAAACAAATATTAAATGAAAATGAAAAAAACAAATTTCAGACTTACCGTGATTTCTCTCCGTAATTTCAAGGGATCTCTTGTATAAAAGCATGGAATTCTCAAACCTCCCTAAAGCCGAGTACATACTCCCCATGTGCGTCAGTATTGAATCAAGCAGAGGCTCATCATCCCTCAAATCATGTACAACCTCGTCCAACTGGAGCACAAAAGAATTATACAGTTTATATATAAAAAAGAATATATATATATATATATATATATATATAAAGTTGATTAGATTAAAACAATGGACAATTATAATCAAAGGAGGACAAAGTACTCTTAGGAGTATATATACACCAAATTCCACTAGATAATACTCAAGTCAACATGAGATATCCGTGAATCACGTGAAGATATGTGACAAATGAGCATAAAATATTGATTTGTGGTGCAATGATGTACAGTACCATATTTAAGACAGACTCAACCATCTTCAAGTCTCCGATAGCCATGTAACCCAAGGCTATGACGTCCAGAGTAGCAGCTTCTTCTATGGTTTTGCCTCCTGCAATCATTTCTTCTCTCACAGCTTCATAATTTGCTTCAAGTAGATCTAGGGCATCACCTTTATTCCCCATACTTATCATGCTTTTAATTTCAGAAAACAGTTCTTCTAACTTCGTTTCAAGGTCTCCTCCCAAGTGTTTTCTTCAGCCATCAAAGAACATGTTAGAGCTGTGCTAGCATGCATGAATAGTAGCCTAAAATCGAACTCTAGTTGTGCAAAAGTATAAATGTTTTAAGCCTTTCCACACCTCAGCAAATTCTATACATATCAGCAGAAGCATAAAAAATGTATACCTATCTTAATACAGTTACAAGAAGATCGAAAACAAGGTCTCACTACAACAAAATCAGCTTTATAGGACAAGAAATATGTCTAAGTGTCCTAATAGGACTTACATTTATGGAACCAAGCAATTGTACGTCCTATGTAAAGGTGTTACAATAAGTTGATAGAATGCTTTTGGGCGTCCTAACAAGTTCCTCAGGCTGCTTTTGAAAATAAGTGTCCTATTAGTCTTTTATATGACATTATTTGAAAATGTCTCTTATAAAAACAATTGTCTTGTAAAAAGAAGTGTTCATAGAGCACTTCTAAAAAAGTGTCCTATAAAACAGTCCATAGAGGCATTTAGACATACTTGGCGTCCTATAAAGCCGATTTTCTTATAGTGTCTAATTCAAAAGCCAGGGTGTTCAAAGGCTTCTATACCCTGCAGGACAGGTTTAAGTTCACCAACCTTGACAAGAAAAACACGCCAATACATGAGGGCTCCAACAAGTGTAAACAGCTAAATATTTGAAAAATAAGTCATTGGGTTATCCAACTAATATTTCACACAAACATATATGAGTTCGCACCTTTGAGATTTATCTGAACCACTAACAATGGGAGAAACTTTATTTCCATGCTTTGTGCCACCTACATGCAATGATTTGGTAGTTGCGTAACATCTAAACACCAAGCACCGATAAGATAAAGATATCCCACCCGGCACCACATACAACCTCGTGTTACATTTTCCTTTTGGGGGATGAAGAGAGAAATCAATGATGCTTTTCTGTAACAAGTCTGAGTGAATGCTTGGACACAATGCACTCATCCTGAAACTTTCCACTTTAGGTAAGAACATCCGTGAAACCAAATTGCAAATGCTCAATAGGAATCAACATATGCAAGTGCTCAGATAAAACAAAAATAAACTGTCAATGATCATGAATTGAGGTATTAACACAGTAATATGCATTATACACATAAAGGAATCATAATCAATCAACTTTACATGCTGATAATTGATTTAAATCGTGTCATTGTTGTAAATAACAAGCTGCAAATGTGTCACACACATTTGATCAATTTAATAGGTTTTTGCCACAAGGCCCACAACCTAACCACCATTGAAAGAATGAGGCCTTCCGGACAACTTGTGAAGTGTAACCTACTAATTTCCAACTTAGTTGTTGGCTAAACAAACCATATCAATTTTATGTTGGAAATCAGCATGTCTGAACTCAATGTTCCCAAAGTATGTCCAAGGAAACGGGATGCAATAAAATAAACTTTTACACGAATTTTTCAACTTCTATTTCCTGAATTCAACGCAAGTGCTGGTAATTGATGAAGATAGCATAAATCAAATAATAGAAAATAAGAAATGCGTCAAAATCAACCACGCTTTTATCTCATCGGCAAAACAAAGTATCTTCAATTAAATTCGAATAAAATTACAGACATTAACAAAATTATTCATCGTTAGAAATTCCAGTGGAATTCAACAAGATAAATTTAGCAATCAACTCCAATCACCAATAAGATTACTACAGATAAGGAGCAAGGAAAAACCAGAATGGGTGAGTGCGTGCATATAAGCATACAAGATACTTACAGTATCCGGATTAGCTAGGTTCGGTGCGACTACGAAAGGAAACGTGGTGGACGGTGGCGCAAGGCGGTTCTGTGGGGGGATCCCTTCCGAGGTCGTGAAATGTTTCAGATGACATTTGTCGAACTATAAGTGTACAGATTGGATATGAAAATTTTAGCTTTATTATTTTATCTTATTCGATAATATCATCAAGCAAGAGCGTTTTACTACCGAAAAAGCAAGTTAATGACTCTTATACCCCTTAATGTATTTTTATCATAAAAAATTGCAATGCAACCGAATATAAAACAAAATAAAAAATCAATGCAGTTCATTAAAATAAAAATCCGAAATTCATAAAGTGATACAACAGCTTTGTTTTATGAAATTCAAACATAAGACGAATGCATATGAATCAAGGGATAGCTTATGGCTTCTTCTTAGAGTTTTATGAAATTCAAACATAAGACGAATGCATATGAATCAAGGGATAGCTTCTGGCTTCTTCTTTGAGTTTTATGAAATTCAAACATAAGACGAATGCATACGAATCAAGGGATAGCTTCTGGCTTCTTCTTAGAACTGACAACCCGTGTTGATCGCTTCTAGCAAAAACATCATATAAGGTATATCAATCCCCACTTTTAACATAGTCAGAATGGTGTTACCCATACCCTCGCACTAAAAACCATACTTAAATTCTCTCTATGAGAAAATGGTATCCATCAAATTTACCTTTTAACCATTTCTCTTACTTTTTCTTTACAAAGTCACCACCTCCGTAAGTAAAGTAACCATTCCTTAACTTGTGGCATGACAAAAATAAAAAACAAAGATTCTACACGCTCTCGTCAATATTAAAAAACAAAACAAAACGTGTCAACTTCATATTTCAAATAAGATAGCACCTAAAGGACACCAAACAAACCCAATATACCCCACCTAAAAGTAAGGTCCAGATGGTGGATGGGATGTACACACACTTAACCTTTACAAAGTAAAGTAGTCGTTTCCGTGAAGACAATACTACTCATATGATCTAAAAAAGAATCTTTAACATCCCTCTTGACTGCCAAATGAACGTGCAAAGTGGTTGGAGTCGGCGAGCTGAGTATTCTCTTATATACACAATGAACAAGTTTACAAGTTGCATCCATACAAGCAGTAGCAGTTCTCTTAATCAGACTTCGCTCGTTCCTTCGTTGTACTGCTAAACACACAAAAGAACAAAAAGAGAAATGTTGTGTGAAAGTTCTGTCCAAAAAAAGTTGTACGAACTTAATAATGCATCAAATGCAAACAATTTTAAACATAAACACAACCATGTACTTGGACATGCAGAAATGTTGGAACAACTTGAAGATTACATTATATAGGTATGGTGCTCATTTTTGTATGTTACTCCTATAACAACTAACCCATGTACACAAGGCACACTAGTACCTTCATGTGATCCCTTCTGGTTCTTGTTGGATTCGACTCTTAAGGCCCATCTTCTTGGGCTGCAGAATTAAACAATTCAAAACTACACGTCAGAAAATCGCATGCATATACCATGTAATCCACAACCAAGAAAGGCTATAACGAAATTTTTGCAGCCAACTCCACCTGGCCATTAGAAAACCTATCGATGAGCCCAGTATATCCCACCAGGAGGTGTGGTTTGGGAGGGGTAAGATGTGGGCGGACATGACCTCTACCCCAAGAGTTGTAAGTTGTAACACCCCAAAGCCCAAAGCAACAGGTTGGCCCAGTAACTTCGTATTCAACTTAAAACCATGATGGAAGTTATTGATACCCCACAACTTGAGGCTTATAAAAGCATCTCCAATAGCTATTGCCGTATTTTCTCCAAAATAGAGTATTAAAAGTCAAAATCTCTAAAAAAATATTATTCAAGTCCAACAGCTACTCTTATTTTATCAATTCTAACATTAGCTATATTATTAAAATATTCAATACATTTAATATACTATTTCTCTCCTGAACATTTATTTTCAGTACCTCTTATTGGTGGGAAGTATTAAAATAATAATTTCTCTCTCTATTTAGAGATTTTTACAATCTCTTTCCTCTTTTCTCTAATTTAGCATACAAGATAGCATAGCTGTTGGAGCAAAAAAATTGCTAAATCCTTCTTTTCCCCATTTTAGCATAGCTGTTCGGTTGGAGATGCTCTAAGGAGCTCACAAATCCCGTTAATAATCTATGTAAGACGAGTTGTTACAAGAGCAAAGTGTGCAAAGAGAGAAATGCATAGAACCCTATACAGCTTCAACTACCTACAACATTTCCACTATAACAAAGGTTAGATCGGTGTTCAATTTCGGCCATTTATTGGGCAGTTAGAATAGGTCAACATTAATCTGCATTCCACAAAATATAAGCTTTACTACCCATAGACCATCTGGAATTATGAAAGTTGGTTAGGTCTTTGATCTCAGGATTGGATTAGCAAATGAAGGGCAGAAAATTAGTTGGCTGCAATTTTCATCCGACTAGCACTAGCAATGGATTTGAACAGTTATAATACATACACACACACACACACACACACATATATATATATATATGTGTGTGTGTGTGTATAAAGAGATAGGAAGAGCACTACATACTGCTCAAAATAAAGCCTTGAAGCAAGCTCTGGGCTCTTTCAGCTTGCTCAGGGGTACCAGATATTTGGATGATATGCTCTACTGCTTCTGTGCTTGTATCAAGCAGTTTAACATTTGCTCCCGATAGCTTGTTTGAGTTTTGAATAATAAACGAAAGAGTCAGAAGACATACCATTAACAACACCAAAGATAATTAATAGATAAATTAGAATATGGATGAGGTAGGCTTACTTCGCTAATCTGAGCAAGCTTATTTCTCGACTTTGTTATGAGCTTAGGGACTGCATAATCTGGTATGACAACTTCCAGTATACTCCTTGTGACCAGTGGCACAGCAACCCTAAAAGACGAAAGCAAATTGGTATATGATATCAGATGCATGATGTATGCAATTAACCAATTAGTATAAAGTTAAACAAGACCATTACCTGTTCACTGCACTTGGTGCATCCTCACGAGTCCCACTTTCATTTTGATTTACAGCTTCACTGTTGGATCCCCCAGTAATCTACACAACAAAGGGATGTATCATGGGGAAAGTCAAAGCCTTTCTAACCAAAGGGTTGCATTCAGAGAGTGAAAGTTATGGTGAGAAGGGTAAGAAATGATCTCCACCCTTGGATCAATCCTAATTGAAGATCAACACTAATGAGATGCACCCAGATGCACCGGATCAATTCCCGTATCAAGCACAATTCATGGGGTGGGGGTGAGATTATAAGTGATCAAGGGTCATGATCCCTTCTTTCGCTTCTCACCTTAACTCCTATTCTCACACGATCCTTCGTTTCTAACCAAATGGGCACTTCATGCTCCAAAGATGGGAAGGGAAAGAGAAACATATGGCAGAAGCAACGGTCAACATGCCTCTGCATATATCGTTGTTCTTTTTTTGTAAAATTGTGAGGTTAAGAAGATAGTTTCCAATTTCTAAGCATATCTCTATAGTTAATGCAAAAAGGAGCAGCAGAAAAAAAATCATTTTGGAAGAAGGGATCTTTAAACATCCATGCAGAAGATCAAAGAAACATAAAGCAACAGAGACATGGCTTGATTAAGTCTGGTTACCTTTGCCGGAACTGGTGCTGCTGTGGTTTGCGATGCAACAGTAGCATCATTCCCAGCATAAGTTTCCCGAGGAGTTGTATTATTGCTGGAAGCTGCTTCCAAGTTCAAAGCACTCCCCACAGGGCTTGGTGCATGAAAGGGAGGGGGTTGGGCATCCTTTTGAAAGAACCCTTGGAATAGATAACTCCGTAGTCTCAATGTCACCACCACAAGAGCTTCTCTCGCAGCCTTGATCTCTCCAACAATCTGTTCAAAATCAGGGCATTAGCATCAGCGCTGAAGTTACCCTTTCGATTCTCTTTGCCCCATTTAAATACTTCATCAGATGATGATTTCTTAACTTTTACTGAATTATATCGGATATTTGTTAAAAACACATGGATAGAGAAGGTAGGCTTAAGAAATACTATTTCTTCCTTCCATTGCTGTTCGTGCAAAAGATTACCCAATTCAGTATATCATTATCTAATTCAATATAGCAATTTCTCCATCATATATTATGTATCTTTCGAAATGGTATGCTAGTTTCTTATCCACCATGCTCGAGTCCCACCGAATAATATTATAGTAATTTCACTGGAATCAAAAAGTACAGACATTGTTGGATTTATGGTTAACACTTAAAAGAAAGCAACAAACCTGTACAAGTTCTTCATTAACTGATACAAATTGTGGGAGATTTTCTCTTGGTAGAATCTGAATATCTGCACCAGTCATTTTCTTTGTTTCAGATAAGAATCCATCTCTTCCGTCTAAACATCCAATTTCACCAGCAGAGAGTAGAAGACGAGTAGTGATAATATTTTCTTTTTCAGGAACAAGATCCAATATCCGGGTCTGAATATGCAAAAGAGCTTCTTGAGCAGGGAAGAGCTCATCATCGGGGCTCTAACAGTACATGTTTACAATTGCAGTTAGCATCTTTAGACACAAAGTGAAAATATTAACGGCAGCAAATGTCTTGTCGTATAACTATAAGTTCATCATAAGATGCTCAATGACATTAACATACGCTCAAACAAGATGTATGAGATGAAGCAATGGCTGGATAATCTTGTTAATGGAAACAGCAACACATAAAAACACAAAATCCTCCAAAAAATGGATCTGGTTACTTCTTAAGTAGATGAAGATAGAGGAAACAAGTACCTCCTCTGATGAGATGATGATTATTTGTTCATCTGACCCAATCACAAGATCAGCAACCTTGACTTCTACACCAATTTCATCCCGGAGCAATTCCATAAATCCATCAGATTGCCCAATAACTGTATCAACCTTGTTTTTGGGACACAGTATTCGAAATACAAGATCTTCTGCAAAAGGGGGCTGAGCATTATCAGACACAGGACTAGCTCCAGCATCATTAATGTAGCTGGATGGACGTGAGGCATGATTAAAGCTTCTGGCATTGTTTAAACCACCAGGTATCCGTGATCCATAGTTAGGTCCATCCATTGATGGTCGACGAGCAATGTTATTTGGATGATGTATAAAATCCTCTTCAGGAGGAAAGAACCGTTCAGGTGATTGTAGCCGGCCATGAAAATGACTACGATCCCGATGCTGACTCTCCCTTAATCGTGAAGAAATAATTTCTATTGCATTCTTCACAGAGGTCATCTCACCCACAACCTGTGGAGAAAATAACGTACTTGTTATTATGATTAGAATTGCATAGAATATGTATGAGAAAGGAGATATGAATACAGTTCGAAAACAGAAGCTACTAATTTTACCATCAGTTTTCCTTATTCAAACCCAGTACTTCTCAAGAGCCAACCATGTCACTTCTCTGAGAACTCTATTATATGCCTTCTCAAGATCAATTAAAGCATCATATGACAAATCCTTTTTATCCCCCCCCCCCCCCGGGGGGTATTTCTCCATGAGCCTAATCAAGAAATTAGCCTCGGCTTTTGATCTCCTGGGCATAAAACCAAATTGATTTTTCAACCCGTTGGTCTCAACTCTTAACCCAAGCTCACTAACCCACCCCCATAGTTTCACTGTATGGCTTATAAGAATATAAGTTTGATCCATCAATATCGTGTACTCTTACAAATATCCTCGTTATCCTTGTAGGCTTAGATCAAGGTACTATTCCTCAATTCATCATGCATTCAGTCTGTCTTGATGATCAATTGATCACATTATAGAATTTAGGCAGTCATACTCCACATCCTTCCCGAAGAGCTCATAAAACCTCTATAAGAAATTAAGAATACTATAAGGCCCTAGATCTTTACCTACTTATATCATTCTTATCACTTCTTTTACCTCCAAATGTCCAATCAACATACAAACCTTCCATTAATATCATCAGAAGAGTCATCGAGTTACCTTACTATCCCCTCAGATTTTCTATTGTAACAACTTATCAAAATAGTCACTCCGTTGTTCTCTAACCTTGTCAATCTTCACTAATATCTTATGTTCTAATTGGAGAAATTAGTTCAAGTGACCATTTCCCTCGTTCAAATTGGCCTCATAACCATTTCTTTCCCTGGTTGACCCAAATGTCACTACATCCGCAATACCCATTGCAGACCTGGCTAAAAGACAAAAAAATGTCAAATTCAACCAATTTATCGTCGCAATTGCGGACCTAACCGTCACAACAATACATTTATGTTGAATTTTTGGTCTTTAGCTAGGTCCACAATGGATATTGCAGAAGTAGTGCCATTTGGGTCAATCCGGGAGAGAAATGGTTAGGAGGCCAATTTGAATGAGGGAAATGGTCATTTAACTCAAGGACTCATTCTTATTACTATTCAGCAACCCATCTACTAAGAAGAATCCTTCTACAAAAAGCAAAGACATTATTTTCATAGACGCACGATACAATGTTGCCTTTAAGTTGCTTTACCTGATCAAACACCATCCAACCCTTTAGCTTGCTATGCAGCTGATCTACCAAAAACTTGATCAACAAGACCATCCAAATTGCTTTGCTTACTAACTAACAAACATACAAAGTGGCTCAAACCAAATTGTCAATTACTATGTAGAATAAATGGTGACTAAAAGTCAAAGTTTCAATGAAGTGTTGCTTTTCACACATGAGGGCCAATATTTGAGAAACGTGTTGCTTTAGAAAACAAATTTGGTGCTACTTAAAGCATGCTAATTAATCATGTTGCCGCCCACATGGCAATCATTAGAACATATTCTCAAGATAGCTTCATGTTGGTTGTAGATCAGAACAAACTGGGGAAATCATAATTATCAAATGTCTTGAATAAAAAATGTCATCTGACAATGTAACTAGAATCCACTTATCAAAAGAGATTAAAGTTTCAGAGAAGCAACACTAAAAGTCAGAAAGAGTTCTCACTGCTCTTTCATAACTCTACCTTCTTTGTTGGTAAGTCCTACTCGTCCATCCAAAAAACGGTGCCAACTCCTAGCGTATGTCAGTTACTACTTACTAACCAACGTAAAAGCAATGCTTTGGCACTTACCATTGCAAGGATATCTGACACTCACTTGATAATCACATTTACGGGTCCAACATTTAATACAAACTGATTTCATTCTTGCTCATAGACAAACACACGTTTACACATCTCGGAAAACACTCTTATACATAGATAAAGAATATGAAATTGAAATTTATAGTATCATTAAACTTGCAAAACCATGATATCCTGGAAAACATTAGCAGAAAGCAAAGGAATTACACAAGCAAGCACATGTTAATATAAGCACAGCCAATCCAAAGAACAAGTGTTAATCATAATCAAGAAGAGACAATTTAGAAAACAACACAACCAATAACTAAACGCAACAAATAGGGTTTAAAACAAGTTAGCAGCCTAGCTATGACTCAATTATCAAGTACTTTGCTACTTGCTAGCATGACTTGGGAATCACCTTTTGCAACCAATAGATATTAACTAAAGCTAATAGCTTGTGTTTGTACACCACAATTAGAGATGGTTTTTCATGTTGCAAAAGTTGAAGGATTGGTAACCTGAACAATTTCCTCTGACATTTCGACGCAGCGTGGTATGGTGTGATCTCTAGGTAGAACCCTAATATGGGTTTTGGTTTCCATCCTCATTTGCTCAATAATCTTCCCTCCTTTCCCAAGTAAACAACCAACATGCATCCTAGAGACCACCAGCCTCGTCACCAACCTGTTGGCACCCAGACCCCCTCTCGGCCCATAAATATCTTCATCTTCATCACCTCCTCCATACCCCAAACTATACCCACCTCCATCACTCTCCAAAATCCTCTCATGAATCAAAAGTAAAGCTTCCTGAGCAGGGGAAAATGAAGGCATTCTCCCATCAGGATCCCTCCTCCGTGTATCAGAGATCTCAATGATTCTCTCCTCATCGCCAGGCATCAACTCATGGACGTTTATCCAAGCGCCAGTATGTTGCCTAATGGCCTTAATTATGCTACCTGACTTCCCAATCACACTTCCAGCTTTAGCATCATGACACAAGATCCGGTAACTCGTAGTAACCATAAGAGAAGAAGGATCTTGTGGTCTCCGGCCGCCGCCTCCACCACCACCACCGCCGCCACCGCCACCACCACCAATGTTCCGTCGCTGGTGATGGTTATTAGGACCGTAATGGTGGCCGCCGCTGTAGTTATTGTTGTTATTGTAGCGCTGTTTTGTTCTAGGTAAAGTCTCCATATGGTCATAGTCCTGATCGTAATAGTACCTCTTAGATCTTGATCTATCCATCATTCTTTTACGATGAAGAAACAAAAATGAAATTATTATTTAGGGCATTCGTGGGTGACCTCCTTGAAATGGGAGGTAAAGGGTTGAGCGTCAAATGTAGCAAGTCCAACTGAGACAACTCGATTGAAATTGAAACCCTAAGAGAGAGAGAGTGTTCACTGGAGCTTGGTGTGATCTTGCAAATCCAATTGGAATTTTAGATGGTTGATAACTGTGAGATTTTCTCTCTCTGCGAATCCAATTGGAATTATTGTCAACTTATTATTATTTTTATTACCAATTATCTTTTAATTTTCTTTGGAGTAATATAAAATTTTCATTTTCAAATAAAATCACACGATTAAACAAAAACACATTCACCTTTTTCACAAATCACAATAATTATATAAAAAGCTACTAAAATCCCCATATATATATGTATTCTTCAAACTTACTTTTAAAACCATATTCTACAAAGCAACAAGCCTTGAGCAAGGGCTTTTGGAATATGTACTAGGCAAAGATTGTTACTGTGTTTTTAAGGTTATTGTTATTGTTTTTCTTTCTTTCTAGACAGAACAACTTACAAAACACAAATTTAAAGGAACTACTAATGTGGAGAATTAGAATTATGAGTTGAATATTGACAAAAATATTCGGAGTGGTTCAATGTAACACCCGTGTTTTTTCCGATTAATTGTTTAGGAGTGTACATTTGTTTTAGTAAATTAGTCACTCTCCCATTATTATTGAATGTTCGTGGCTTTTGAATCAAGAGTCATGGTAGATTTGGGATGAATAAAAATTGTGTTGGAGGTCATCCGAGACATTAAGAGACCTTCGATGTAAGTTCGATCACTCGAGAGCTCGCAAATCAGCTTAAAGCCACAATAACATCCCAAGCTAGTTGTCAAGTGAGTTAAACTCAATTCAAAACTAGCGCCAGGAATTTTGGATTCGGGCTAGTTTCAGCGCTAGTTTAAACTACCGATGAAACTAAAGCCAGACACTGAAATTCTTAGGCTAGTTTCCACGCTAGTTTAAACTAGCAATGAAACTAGCGTGGAAGTCTGACCTACACAAAAAGACCGAAATCAGAGTTTTCCTCATTTTAGCCATAACTACTTCATTTTTACTCCGTTTTGAGCGATTCTTTTTGCTACGGGTTCGTTTTTTTAGATCTACAATATGGGGACAATGATGTTAATGATTTCCTGATGATTTTGGAGTTCATAGAAGTTGAAGGTAAGATCACATCTTTGTTCTTTGAATCTAAAGGTTGGTCCTTTTACACCAACAACTCTCATTCTATCTTGGGTTCTCTTTTTTGAATGTTTTGAAAGAAAAATAAGTGCTATTGAGAGCTTTGCACCATATATTTAGAGTTGTAGTTTGAGGATTTCATCTCTTCAACAAATGAAGCTCAAGATTGGGGTAAAACCTGCTAGATTTAGCCTAAATTTAGCAAAGTAAATTCAAGTTGCTTTGTGAAAACTATGTACATGTCAAAAATGTTCATTTTAAAGTATTAACATGTTTTACTTGCTACTTATCAAATGGCTTATTCAGGGAACTTTTATGGGAGCTTTATGCAGAAAGTCATGTTCTTTACAAACATGTCCCTCTCAATTTAAAACATGCTTCTTTTGTCTATTAAAAAACCTTCCAAACAAAAACTTTTCCAAAGCTATACAGACAGATTAATCCACACAAACAACTTTATCTATAAAGAACTTGATAAAACCAACCAAACAAACTTTGACTAATTATCGTATATGAATATTATATACTTCAAAAGATTAAGATGTATTCTATTGAAGCACTTATGTTTCTGCTTTTTCTTGTTTATACACACAATTGACAAACTTACCTTTAATAATTATGTTGTGGCTTCATTAAGTGTTCCCAGACAGCCCCTCATAGGATTCTACCACAGTCTGGCCCCTTTCATCACATCATTTAGCTATGAATTAAGTACTAGTCTAGGCCTTTATCATTCGGCCTTCAAAATCTTCTTAAACTGCTCATCTCACTATATATCATCAATTTAATTAAATTGCTTCCTTCTTGTGCATGATCTACGTTCAGTTTAGTTGGTTTTCCGTTAAGTCCTATATGGATAAAGTTACTTACCCTGGAAACTTACTAAATAAGTCACTTTCTATATCATTAATCATTTTCAAACAATCATATGTATAATAAGTTACGAGTCTCATTAAGCAACGACCCTATGTTCAAATTTTGTGACCATCATTCATGCATTCGGATATTTTATCATTGAATGGGCTTATTCTTGGGTTGATAAAACATTTATTTATATTAAGCTGTAGCCAGAGTGTACAGTAAGGAACTTGTTGTAGAGATGGATACCTTTAAGTCCTTCAAATTATTGAGCCCACAAAGGCATCTAAAATATTAATACTTAAGAAATACAGAAAACGAACATAAATAAACAGATATATTATATATCATATATATATATATATAAGGTCAAGTTCAGGAGAGAACCGTAAAATATAAAAAACTGAGGAACACCCTACTAACCATTCATCTGGACGGTATACGCATATACATACAAGTAATTTGTAAGCAATTTGTCAGATATGCACATGTGCATAACATGCATACGTGCATAGAAACAAAAAAACAACTTCAATTATTTGTATGCACCTTGAGATAAACGGTTACTAGGGTATTCATTAGTTTTTCATTTTTCAAGATTTTCTCCTGGACCTCCCTCTATATATATATATAGTCTTCCGATCCACAACCAAAACTAGATCTCTCAGTGACACCATTCATCTTGAGCTTAAAAAGTGTCATGGGTTCCTTCCCCCACCCCTCCTTGGATCATGCTTAGTATTTGCTCGTGCATCGTCGTAGTCTAAAGTTGCATCAAGCAATGAGAGCTTCCTTGCATGTTGTATCCTGAAACCATCCTGCATGAAAAAAACACTACACCTTTTATATATATATATATATATATAGAAAAAAAGAAACTGCAATAGAATCCACTCTCCTTTGAACCCCGTGCTTGTTGGATTTCTTGTAAGAACTATAGTTTCTTATAGCATCTTCAACAAATTCTTTATAGATAAACAACAAGGAGATTGCTCAAAATAGTCATTTCCATTAGACAAATTTACCTATTAATCATTTCTCTCCCAAGATTTCCAAAATGTGTGTTACTACCAACTCCTCAACTTGTAGAGGGGTCAAAATGTAAAAAAAGAAAAAAATTCTATACATGGTCCGCAATTACAAGGACCAAATCAAATCTGTAAATTAGTTAAAAGGTGCAAGTAGCTAGCGACATTTTTGTAATTTTGGGAAATGAATAGTTAAAAGGTAAATGTATAAGGGTGAAATGACTATTTTGAGCAATTTCGCTAAATAAAAGTTTTAAAAAAATTACATTTAGCTCCACCGGATATATAATTTCTTCATTTTGGAGATTTCAACGATATGAAAATATTCAATAGATTTAATATCCCAATAAACTTTCAAATAAATTTTATATGAAATGATAATATATACAGGCAACTTCGTTGGTGTGGGAAAGAAAGTTTTGAAGAAAAAAAAATAAGTAAAAATCTTCGGTTTCTATATTTTTAGAAAATCTATTGGAGATGGGGTTAAACAATGCATATATATATATACATGTGAAGATAATAACCTTGTAGCTGTGGGGAGAGTAAATGGGATCTGCACAACCACTGCTGCCACTCACTAGAAGAAAAGGCAAAGAGTACTAGTTAGTTAACTAGGGATATATACATATATATCTTAGCAATTGATGAAGCAAGTGAAAGGTTAAATGAAGAATGTAAGAAGGTGTGGTGACCTGAGCATATGTAAAGAAGCAGTAGAAATGAGATGAGAAGAGTAGTTGATCTGGTAGAAAGAGCCATGAATACTGGTTGATGAATGATGTACGTAGTGGGAATGGATGGAAGATAATTTACAAGGGGAGATGTGCTTGCTGCTTATATATACATACATATATATATATATATATATATATATATATATGTAAATGTAAATGTAACTGAAAATGAGGGAAGAAGATATGATAGTGGTTGAGAATTGAGATGATACCAACCCAATAGCTATACAAGGATGGATGGATGATGAGTGCACCAAAGAGGCCACCATTGTGAAGTCAACTTCATTAATTTATGTTACATCAATGTATACTATACATAATGCATGTGTTGGTAACCCCTTTGCATGGCTCTCATATTCTGCCTTTTTCTAAGTCAAAACCTGCATTTGGTCACTTGAGTAACCATCAGTTTTTGACTTTTCTATTTATTCATTTATCTGTGTTTTTATTGATGCTGTGTGTGAGTGTTGATTACTGTTTGGTAGCTATTGCATCATACTCACTGTTTTGTATGCCACAAAAACTAACTCTTTCTTTTTTTGCTCTTTTTGTATTTTCTTCATCACTGTAGTGTTGATCCCACCATGACAAAGGGACACAACTCAACTTTTGCCTACCTAAACCTTTTATACATATATAGATCTAGATAGACGAATGACCTTGTGAAAATAGGAGTTAAAGTGACAAGTATAAAAAGGGATTTGCATCATTTTTCTGTATATATATGTATAGAGAGAGAGAGAATGTGTAGTCACAATTAATTAAGCTTAAATGTTTAGAAAAACTTAGAAAGATGAGGAGTTGTGAAGAGTTAAAATCCATGAGCTGTGAAGATATGAAAAGGAAGGTTAGGTTATTAGTGTTGGTGGCCTTTTTAGTCCACTTATGTTGCATACTTATCAATGTGCCAAACACCACCTTTTGCATTTGGTGCCTATCTTTCCTTCAATTCCTCTCCACAGTAGAAAACCCTTTTTCTATATATATATATATACATACCCCCTTCTTTTTCTCTCTCTCTCTCTCTCTCTATATATATATATATATGTATATATAATTATTTTTGTTGTTTTATAATGATGGTATGGTATGATGATGCATATGCATGGTTAAAAAAAAGTGAGTTATTGAGAATAATATATATGTATGTAAAACATTTGATAAGACTTAATTTGTTATGGATATTTTGAAGTAAATGTGTATCAAAATCAAATAGTTGTTATGTTAAAAGAAAAAGAAAAAAAAATAAAAAAAAATGCAATTTTTTGTAATGGATGGAGAAGAGAGCAAGTAGTGGAAGCAGCAGGCACTAAGGAAAAGGTTGACAGTCACTTTTCTTTTTAATATTATCAAATTAAACCTAATTTTCCTCATCTTCATTTTTATTTAACTCATAATCTCGCCAAAGAGGAGACCAAATGTTGCCTAAAGTTATAAACCACCTTTAAGGAAAAAATATTTATTTTATTTTTCTGTTTAATCTTTAATATATATATATATACACCAGAAGGGTACTCGCACAATGCAGTGATATACATCTCGATTTTAATGTTTTTTTTTTTTTTTGTCTCAATTGATGTTATAATATAGTTTTATGTAGTGTTGAGAAAGTGATAATGTTTATATTTTTGAATAAAATATAAATATGAAGATATATCATAAAAAAATATTGATATTAGTAGCAAACTAACTATTTAAAGTTTCTTCTTTTTTATGTATTTTTTTAATTTATTTTTATTTTTAGTTTAATAATATAATTTTTATAAGGATAATAATTAAGTATTTTGTTAGAACTTAATAGTTATTTTAGATTTTTTATATTTAAAATGAGATATTTATTCTATAATTGATTATGTTTATCTACATTCTACAGTTAGTTACATGAACTCAAAGTTGAAGCTTTAATAAGTTGTACTTATGCACAATTTACTTATAATCTTGAATTTTAAGTAATATGCATCAATAAACAGTACTTTAGACATAAAAAATTATTTCTAAAATTTTTTATCAAATATTTTATAAGATAACATAGATATGTAATTGAGTTTGATTAAGTAGTTAAGAGATCATGTTTTTGAATCGATTTCATAGTTTTTTAATATTCGTCTTTTAAATAAACAAGTATAAATTTGAAAACGATATATAATACAAATTTTAATATACTACTAATTAAATAAAGTGAGAGATGAGTTATAATCACACTTTCTAAAAAAGTGCTTCTTACCAATTTTTTTCATTCAAAAAGGGAAATTTTTTATGGTTTATTTAAACTCCATCGAATCCAATGTTGTTATCATAATACTAAAATGTTTTAATTTGCTTATACTATTTTTAACAATGTTAAGTTAAGATACATTGCAACTATTTTTATTTTTTATTAAAAAAGATGTAGACCGTGTGTACAAACAAAGTAATACAACAATCAGATGGTGGTTGTGATCGGTAGAGACGACAACTAGGTTGAGGGTATCATCCATGCCCCCATCTCTAAGATTCAAAGAATTGGGTGATGATTATTTTTGAAGTATATAGTAATAACTTATCTACAACAAATATTCATACATACGGTTTCACATTTTATGAGGCTTTGATGAATCCTTGATATATATATATTTTTTTTCCTGTCTACACAATTGGCTTGTACACCCACAACAATACCATGTTTAAATGAAATACCGTGTCTGAAAGTTTAATCAACCAATACTTGTTCTTAATGATCTAATCACGTTCATGGGTTTGATTAAACATTCAAAATCAAGTAATTTAGTACTTTTCAAACCGATTAAATTGTTTTAATTTAAGTGGTTGAATAAAATGTCAGTGACTTTCTATTTTTGAATATTATAAATAAGGTTTTGACCATTACAAATAAGGTGGAATTTTGGTCCCTATGCTAACATTGTACTTGTGAAAGGGTGATCATAATGATTAATTTGTAGGCTATCGAATAAGAAAAGTAAATGGAGAGTTGACTACAAAGCATTTTCATTGATAGGAATTGGGATTATTTCAAGATTTCAAATACATTATTTTTTTTTTTATCAAAGAGGAAAAAAACCAAAAACACTAAAACAGATTAAACATTCAGGCAAGGACGAACCACATCCATCAAAAAAGAAACCAAGGCTCCCACAAAGAAAGAAAAGAGGGAGCGAGAAGAGAAAAACCAACCATTCCAAACCAAGATAACATTCGAAAAAAGGCTTAATTTATAATTTATTATGTATCAAAAACATGGATTTTATGTTTTTATTTTTCTAATAACCAACTAGTTTTAGTTTAATCCGCATATACAACAATTTTCTATTTGATGTGAAGTGATAGGTTGTTTGTTTAGTTTTTTAATTAACTAACTTACCCATTTGCTCACATTTTTTATTCTTTCATTTATATTTTAAGCGATACTTATATGAACCTTTATTGTGGGTCCCATGTATTTTTATTTAACATAAATTGTTATTATATTTTTTTAATAATAATCAAAAATATATAAAAACTAATAAAATCACCTCTAACAAAGTTTAAGGTAAAATCCAAGGTTCTTATATGAACTAAAAAATGTGGATAATTTACAAGAGCTTTGTCCAATGGTATTGACTTATTAACTGTTGGTAAATCTTTTTTTACCAGGTAAGCAAGGACGATTACCTTTCCTCACCTACTATGTAAGACATCGGTCATTGTTTCGCCTTTTACCGGATAAAATTCTTTGTTTCTTCACACTCATTTGGTAAGGTAAATGCAAGCAATCCGTAAACAATCCTTCAAACATCTTATTTCAAATACGCATTATTAAAAATAATAAACAAACAACTCTCATTTTAATTGGATATGCTATAAAATAAAAAAGGATCCAACTTTTGTGGTTTTTCATGGGTGTATAAAAGGGAAAAGTACAAAAAAAAATCCAACCAAGTGTTCTATTTTGAATGGTTTAGTTCTTAAATTTCTCATTTTAAATGAAAAACTATTAAAATGTATTATTTTAAATGATTAAGACCTTGAACTATTTTTTTGATGAAAAAGTCGTTAAACTTTTTCATCTTGAACGTAAAAAACCATTAAACTAAGCAACTTCTTTTTGAGTTAAAAGGAAATAGGTAACCATTTTTTAAAAGTGCAATGGTTTATTTTATTAAAGAAATGTCCAATTACTAGATCATTTAAAATAAGATAGTTTCATAGTTTTTTCATTCAAAAATTTAATCATTCAAAATAAAAGGTTGAATGGTTTTTTACTAAAAAATTATTTAAAAACTTAACCGTTCAAAATGAAGAGAAAGTGATTGGATTTATCTTTGTCCTCAATAAAACCGGTGCTTTCAATCATTTCTGGTGGAAAGATGTGCGATTTCCAATTGAAGTTACGAGTTATATGTGATGACAGATTGACACGCAAAAAAGTTGAATACTAATAATCGTATGAGTGAGTTTGTGGGTGGTCAATTTTTAAGGAGCACAACTCTATTACTATTTCAACACCTTTACATCAAATCAAAATCAAAATTTTATATAAGGAAACATTTGTATGAGATGAAGAATGCTTATAAAAAAAAAAGATTCATTTCAAATCTACATTTAACAATACCCTACAAACCACCAGACAATTGCCACATGATCTCTCAAAATTTAAAAGTTTAAAAAAAAAAAAAAAAAAAAAAAAGCAGGATGGATTTTTCGGTACCATCAATGAAACATCAAGAGCTTTCCCTTACCCGAAATCTTCAAAAACCTGTAGATGCTGAAATTATCGGGAACCAATGTGAATTTGACATGGAACAAAACCAACCTTTGGAGCATCATCGATCATTTATCAAAAAGATCATAAAAGCATCTCCAACAGATAGATATGCTATGTTTTATTTCTTCATTCTAACATAGCTGTTGTCTTCTCAATTTCTAAAATAGCTAACAGGTCCAAACAAGAGACAGTATGTACCAAAAACATTGATTTGAAAGGCTATTGATTCAAAATATACATAAAAAAAACATAACAAAACAAAACAAAGAAAAGGGAACCCAATACAAATAAAACTTTGGCATTCACACAAATCCATATGGGGTTGTAAGGTTTCACTTGACACCAAAAAGAAAAGACCTTGATGAGCCAAAATTACAAAAAATAATGTCTCTTCTACCAACCAACCTTCAATCCTATTCCCACACCTTTTTATCACAAGCTGTGACATATTCTCCATTCTCTCTCTCTCTCTCTGAATCAAAACAGGATTTACAAAACCTATATGCTTCTTCAACTTTTTAGACCAACAAACAAGCAAGGGGGAAAAACAAAAGAAGATGGCACACATGATTTCATGAATGCATTGTATTCCAATATTTTCTTTCTTTCTTTCCTTTTTTGGACTTCAAAAACACCTACTGATGAAATATGCAAAAACTCTAGCTGCCTAAATGTAATATGGCCAACCCCCTACCTGGCTTTTCAGAAGAAGAAAAGAGCAAGACACAATACCAGACTGATGCAGGACTCAAAATTGACAGACCCCCTCTACCTAAAAATATCAGATTTAGAAAAATGTATGATGCAAAATGTAATGGGTACCTAATATGTGTGCAGTTCAAGTATATTGTAGATGGCACGGACTGATGCAATACTTGAAATTGACCCAAAAGAAGGAAATGAATTGAAAGGTGAAAGCAAAATGGAAAATGGCAGCATGCTGTGTTCTTTTGTGATAAGAATTTTCTAACTCCTATACCCCGACAACCAAAGCCACTGTGGATGATATGGGCTAATTCATATACTCTTGAGATATAGACATCATGTGAAATTGATAATGAACCAGCCCTGCACAACTAGTTACATAGCAGGCTACATCTCCCTCCCTGCCCCAACTCTTCAGAACCATGATATTACTACTCGCCCCCTGGTGACAGAAGAAGAGCAGTTGCAGGTGCAACAGCTTGAAACAACTTAAGTTGTATCACTTCCATCGTCAGAAAATGGCGACGACCCGACTCATAGAATGCAATCCCCAACCCCGACCCCCCGACTCGACCATATGCATGCAGGGACTTCTAAATTAAAAAGAAAAATTTTATGTACCGACAGGCAGAGCCTCAAACAGAAATAGCACGACTGATGGCTAGCTTGGCCCATTCAGCAGATTCCTTGATCAAATGGTCATCCGAGGACAAACATTCATTCAGAAAATCTTTGCTTGAAAGTGATTGCTGAATCAAGGACCCAGCATTACTTCCAAGAGTATCGGCTAAATCTCCAAGAACACCGATAGCAGTTTTCATCACCACTTCGTCCCTGAATAAAGGATAGATAATCAAGTCAAAAATCGATTAAATAACACCATAGTTAAGGCATCAGAAATACACTTTAAGTACTCACATGTCTTTCTCCATGTAAATCAGATCCAGGAACTGGAGAATATGTGGAGCATAGGGAATCAGCAACTGGGTTTTAGGAGAGTTCTTAAAACCCTGAAATATCCCTGAATATGCCTCCAATATGCCATTTCTCAAAAGATTGGTGTACTCTATCATTTCATCATCAGCACCTGATGTGTGTGAAGACAATTCTGCTGCACTCTGGAGCATAGGCATAGCATACATCAAGTATTTCTCAAAGTTCTCTCCTATTGCCAGAGAAATATCACCAAAGCAGGAAAAGATTGGAGGCTTCACAGATCGATGCAACTGGTTACTTGACAAGTCTTTAAGAAGCTGGGTCATAATCCCATCACACCAAGGAAGCACCTTCTCCTCCAGAGCCCTGCAGATGTCGCCCACCACTCCTACAGTAACAGCACACACTTGGTACTCTTCAAAGTTTTGGAGACCCATTTCCAAGTACTTGTAGAAATCTGGCATGTATTTTGCAAAGTCCGGACCTGTTGCATAAGCAAGGGCTCCTATAGCAAGCATTGCTTCCTCATGAACTGTAGCACTACGACATGCAAAAACCCTAAGAAATTGATTCATTATCTGATCAGCATACTGCATGAAGGCATATCTCGTAGGGTCTGATGCTCCAAGTTTCTGAATGATGACCTGTAAGCACCCACAAAGAAGGCCTTGCAATTCATTCTGCTTCTCTCTCTCATCAGAAGAAAGCTTCTGTTCTTCAAGAGTTTGGTGGAGTTCCATCATGATAACAGGAACCAATTGTAACACCATGGGAACTGTTTCATCCGTTGAGCATCTCACAACTTCATTTAATGTCTCATAAGCAGCAGTCCTCAATCTAGACTCTCCAGCATCTTCTCTGTGAGTAACTGTCAAAAGAGATTGAACAATTTCTTGAAAATAGGGAGTCAGGGGAGATGACGGTCCTACATCCTCAAAACCTTGAGCGAGAAAATAGAGGGCACCACAAGCTTTCTCAGCCACATTTGGAGCATCCTTCATGCTCTGGAGAAGAACTGTGATAATCTGTTGGCAATTTGCTGGTGTAATGATAGGTGTCTCCATTGTCGAGCCATGAAGAAACTCGAATATTCTTCCAAGCGTCCAAGCCGTGGTGTCCTTTACATGGTTGTTGGGATCTTTGGTCAAAGCTGTGAGCATGAAATTTAGAGCAACATTAACAAGGGGAGTTAACTGGTTGGGTGATGGACCCTCCAAGATGGAACCAAAAGCATATGTAGCTCCCTCCCTCTGCCTCCAATCAGGTTTTGTTATATTCTCTTCAATGAAGGGCATGACAAGTGGAACAATGTCATTTCCAACTGTTCGAGCAACCAAACCAAGGCATGTGCCCCCAGCCATGGCAAGATTCCAAGCACCCTCATCCTGATCTTGGTCTTCTTCTTGTTTCAGAAGAGTTTCTAAAAGCATGGGCACAAGTGCAGGCAGAGCCTGCTTGATAAAGTAAAAACAAGGAACATCTGAAACAGCAGTAGTGAAGTCGCCCCCATACTCCTCCAAGACATCTATCTCCTCATCACATATCGAACTCCAGAATTCAATTGCTTGTAGGGCTACTGGCTCCTCATCTTCTCTCACAGCCTTGGCAGTGATGTTGAAGATATCCTGCATGTAGGGAGCTAATTTTTCATAGTAACTTGATGAGATGGAAACCAAACACTCAAAAGCTGCTTGCCGAATTTTTACTTCTGGAGACAGGGTTGCCTCACAAACAACTCTCATAATATAATCACGCTCCATGTCATTAGTAAAATTTGCCTGAGCAAAACCAAGAGCATTATACAAAGATCTTGTTGCAGCAAGCCTCACGTCATTGCTAGCCTCACTGGAATTCATGCCTTGAACTACCGCTGTAAGTATTTTATTCACCTGATCTTGTTCTACAGCATCTGGAGAAACTTCTTCACACAAATACCCAAGAGTTTCTAAAGTGGCTTGCTTCACATGAACAGGGACTTGGTGAATATTTGATAGAAGTGAACCAATGAGCTCAGGCCACTGTTTTTGTGGCAACTCTATACCAGCAACCTTAGCTATTACTTGTGATGCCGTTGACCGTGCCTCCTGGATAGGAGATGCAAGTGTCTGCAACAGGCATGTTTTAATCTGTGTCTTAACACCCACATCTAGCGATAACCATCTTTGGATAAGCTCAAACTTTCTATGTTGCTCTTTCGCATCCAAGGCATTCTTAAGAATCAAACCAGCTAGTTTACGACTATCAACAGGCTTCTCGTCGCTAGCAAGTTCTCCAGATAGAGACAACAGAAACCCAGATAGATTTTGCTCCTGAAATTGCTTTAAACTTTCTTCAGCATGCTTCCGAACTGATCCATCAACTGACTGTGCATTCAACAGAATTTGGGTGACTTCCAATGCCATAACTTTATTGGCAATTGCTGTTTTGAGGGAACTGTTTCATTATAAAATCAGAGTAAGATGATTTGAAAACAAATAACAGTATAACACCAAGAATACGTCACAGAAGAAACATTAATTCCATATTTCCAACAATCACAAAGAACTGAAATGGAAATGCATGAAAGTTATAAAAAACTCTAGACAGATAAAAATCAGATAACAAAGTCAATTTACTTATTGAAACTGAGTTTTCCCCCTGCTTCATAATTCAAAACATATCCCAAAATAGCAATGATAAAGGTTCCTAATAATCTACTTTAAAAACACCATTAAAAGTAGAATTTACCAGTTGCCTTCCACGGATAACAGCAAAACCAGTAGTTTAGATCTGAACATAAACTAAATTAACAAAATCACTTCGCCATGCTAGCAAGCTAACACAGACCTCCTTCCTACGCAAGTGGCAAATGGACAACACAATCATAGCCATACAAAAGCATAACAAAATCAAATTGGTCAACCACGATTAAAAAAAATTGATTTTGTTTCCAATGAAATTGATCATCATTTATCAACCACCCGAAAAAAGCCTCAAATTTTCTTCTCAAACTCAATCCAGCTAAACTAATGACAGTTCAATAAATGACGGGGAATCCCGATCTGCACGAATTTAAACAAAAAGCATTGCTTACTAAATAGTTTTCCAACTGCCAACCACCGAAAAATTAGTCGATTATAACCCACGCGCAAATCAAACGATGAAATACTGGACTGAAAAGCGAAAAATTGACCAGTTTATAGTCGGATCGCAAATCCAACTTTTGGGGATATAAACCCTAACAAATTGATGAATCAAAGTTAATAGATGATATTAAAGGGCCTAATAATGGAAATTACCAGATGCTTAAGTTATCAAACACCCTCCGATCAGCAAACAAAGGCCCAAAAGCGGCGCTTCTGAAACCCTAGAGAGAGAGGGGGAGAGAGAGGGAGAGAGAAGACTGGAACTACAAATGCATATCTGTCTCTATAAATTTTGGGGAAGTATATTATATTAAAAACTGTTAATTACCGTAAAGATATCTTATAAAGAGTAAATTACAGATTTGGTCCCTGTGGTTTCATGAAAAATTGTATTAGGTCCCCAAAATGAATTAATTACATATATCATCATTATGGTTTCAAGTTTGTTACAGAATAAGTCCCTCGTCCTAACAGCATTAATTACATATATTATCATTATGGTTAATTGTTCACCATCTACGGCCAACTATCCGATCTGATATGCACACATCCATCATTAGCTTTGATTTATTACGTCTTCTTGAACACAAAAGACGACCACCTTCTAAATGGGTTTGGGTTTTCCTTTATTTTTCAATTTGCAATGAGGTTTCGGTTTTCTACGATTATTCCATTGACACTGAGGTTTAGGTTTTCTTTTATTTTGAGTTGGGAGCACAAAATCACAGGTTTGGTTATTGTGTGTGTTTGGAAGGAAGAGTTTAGCAACAACAAAAAAACACAAAACATAGATATGAAATACACGAAAAACATAACTTTTATCAAATGAACTATGGTTATTTTAAGACTTATAAAGCAACCCACTAAGCTTTATCTACAACTTAGTGGAGATTCAACAAAAAAAATGGAATACTCCAAAACATGTTATCTCATATCTTTACTATTCTCCAAATGCTTCATACAGTGTTGGAGTGAGGAAGAAAAGGGTAGGAAAAGGAGGTTGGTGGTGGTTTTATTTCTCGCCATAGATGTGTAGCGACCGGAGTGGTAGTTATCGGCAAAGCCCTCCCCCTTCCACACAAAAATCACTGTCCCCTACACCAATCTAGAGTCTCCATCGACACAGTCACCACCACCTGCAAGGCTGCAATTACATGCACTCCCTTCACCACATCATAACCCCTCAACCACAAGCCACTCTTGGTTTATGTTGCGTTTCCCGGCCCTGAACTTGAACTCACTGCTGCAAACTCTGGTCTACCTCCTTCATGAATTGTTGGTTTACTTTCCTTAGTGAGATTGTGGTGAACGTGGGGGAAGAAACAGAAAGGACGTCGATAAGGGGGGATTAGGTCACGTGGGTCAGATCAGATGCATTTGGTATTGGCGGTCACCGACGAAGACGAAGTAAGTAGATAAACAAATAAGGCGCTGGTGGGTGGGACTTAGAAGGAATCAAGCGTGTGTAAATAAATCTATACATGGTATATAATCATAAGTATATAATTTAAGAATCATAAAAATTTGAAGTTTTTAAAATGAAAAAAATATAAAAAAAATACCAAAAAGACCCTAACTTAACAGAGTTTAGGTCAACAAAGTTAGGGTGAGGGACTCAATCCATAACAAAAGTGAAACAAGGATGATCATGGCTGTAATTAATTTGTTTGGAGTACCTAATCCATAATTTTCATATAACCACAGGGACCAAAATTGTAATTTAGTGTATTAAAAATTTAAGGGTGTGATTAGCTGGTGGGATGACCACTGTAGTTACTGAATGTATGCAGAAACAAAAAGCTGGAATTGGATTGTAAAGTGAGGCATGACATGGTACGATGGATTGTGGCTGGATGGTACTTGCATCAACGGACAGGATTTAATCTTAGCAAGTCTGACACCTGGTTTTAAGGTACACGAATCAATAATTCATAATAATTTTGAATATAATATAATATATTAAAAAACAATAATAATATTTTAATTTTATAAAAATAATTTGATAATTAAATAATGAAAGTATTAGAATAGAAGATAAATGTTGAAAAATTAGAAATTTCTTGTTCTAATAATTGATGAATTCGTTTACATTCCATTATGTTACATAAATAAATAGCTAATTTTATTAATAGGTTGTGATGTGAGTTTGATAGCTCTCAGTGATTTTGATGCAAAATATAACGTTTGGAGTTGTAAAGATTTTGATAATTTTTTATCGTCATCAAAATGAAACACATACTGATCTACGTGTCTAATTTCTATAAGCAAACTCCCTTCCCCCGTACATGAGCTTTCGATAAAAAAAAAAGAGAGTTGTTGTCATCCATTGATAAGAAGCAAGGAGGTAAGTAAGTTTAGTACTAATTAAATAACCAACTTAAAAAATAAGATTCAAACACCTGAAGGTTTTAATAAATTTGCTTCTTTCTAAGTAAGATTAGAATTTAGATGATGTATTTGGTAGTGCATTCTTATGTTAAAATAAATAATCCAATATCATATTTATATTTATATTTATAGTTATAGTTATAGTTTTGCAGTAGCTCATCATTTTGTTTTGTTGATGTGGACTTTCTTGTAAATTTTGTGTACCCATTAAAAGCATGAATCATAAGATTTCGTAGCATCAATACAGAAGACTAAAAAGCATATGTAGAATTAGAAAGAATAATAAGTTAAGTTGTTATCTCATTTTCTAAAATTTTGAGTTGCATTTCAATCTATATTTACAAATTTCATATGACATACCTATTAAATATATAAAAAAATAAACAAAAACCCACATAAATTCAGAAAAAAATTATAAGGTAGATTATATATAAAAGTGATTTTTGAGTCGGTGGATTGATTCATATTTGTTTTACACGTCATTCAAACTACTTTATGACTATTTAATTATTAAAAATCTATATCAATAATATGATTATTCATCGTATACAGATTCATAATCATTGGTGTATAACTTTTTAAAATAATATAAATGCTACTTTATTACATCATGGAGGTTATTAAAATGGAAGGTAAATGGTAATGTCTTTTTATTTAAGTAACCCATATCAATTAAATTGCTTCTATAAATTAAACTAATGATTTTTTTATACCATCAAAATAAGTGGAAGAACGAAAACCCAAGGAGATCATTCCAAAGAAATTCAGCCGACCGACCGACTACTTCACCACTCTCATCCACATATGAAACTCAATCAAAAATCCTTAAAACTTTCACAATTCTTTGACCAGCCCATCTATATCTCTCGTTCACGTACTAAAAGCACGCTTAGGTTTGAAAACCTCTGATTAAAAATTAAAACCGAAAACATAAAACCAAATTTGAATTTTTGAACCGCATACAATAAAATCCGGTTCGTTGAACCTCCTAAATGTCATCGTTCTTTTTCGTTTCTGACAAGTGAGATTGTGTATGAGATTACCGAGCCTTAACACGTTGTTCAAATACAAAACCGAAAGCACCAAAATCACAAATAAAGGTGTGTTTGAATTTCAACAATTACCAAACATGAACATTGAACCAAATTTATGAATCAAGGGGGTAAGGGTGCCTGGGGTTGGATCCAGGACCATTTTGAATCACAAAGATCACAAGGGTAGTTCCCATCATCATCTTTTATATCCTTAGCAGCATTTCTCTTCACAAGCATCTCTGCAATGCTTTCTCTCTCACACACAGCAGCATAATGCAATGCTGTCTGCCCTTCGTTATCCTTCATATCATCACCACAACAACTATCACTTTCTCTCTTTCTTTACTCCATTTCTCATTTTCAATATTTACAAAATCTATTATAAGGGACTTATACAAGTTGTTTGGTTGGTTTTCCATTATGGATAAAATTGTCTCTATAGATTAGGAAGCTTTTTTGTTTGGGAGGGTTTTTCATAGCCGCAAGGAAAGTGTTTTTTAATTGCGGGGGAGCAAGTTCAGAAAAAACTTGGCTTTCTGCATAAAGCTCCCCTTTAGAAACTTAATGAATAAGTCACTTTCTATATCATTAAGCTACTACCAAACAAATATATAGCTACCCGAATAAGCTGCGAGTCCCATTGAGCTCGTTAAGCTGCTAACAAACAGGCCCAGAGGCTGTTTGGTTGGTTTTCCATTAAGTCTTGTGTAGATTAACTTGTCTGTATAAGATTGGGGAGCTTTTTGATTGGAGTTCTTTTATAGATGGAAGGAGCAGGTTTATAAAAAATTGGCTTTCTGCATAAAGCTCCTCCTTAGAAGCTTACTGAATAAGCCACTTTTCATATCATTAAGCCACCAGCAAACAATTATATATATATATAGCCAACCAAATAAGCTGGCAAAGCCTCATTAAAGCTATTAACAAACATGCCCTTAAGATGATATAAATGACTAAGTCAAGATTATTACCTTTAAGTTGACATCAGCTTTCCTGTTCAAGAGCAACTCCGCAGCTTCAATATGGCCACGATCAACCGCCCAATGCAAAGGGGTCCGCCCCTCACTATCTATAATTTTTTAGATAATATGAGAATATAAAACTATATATTTTCAATTATATGCAGATAAACAAACATTGCTCCCCTACATACATAAGATCCTTCCTTTAGGGTTGGGTTAGGTGAGAATGGAAGTTATGGTGAGAAAGAAAGTTACGGTGAGAACAGTAAGAAGGGATCTCTACCCTTGGATCAATCCTAATTGAAGATCAACACTAATGAGATGCACCGGGATGCAACAGATCAATTTTCGTATCAAACGCAATTCACGGGGTAGGGGTGAGATTAGAAGTGATCAGGGTTCAGATCCCTTCTTACGCTTCTTCTCTTTAACTCTTATTCTCACTTCGTCCCTTTCTTTATATACTATGCAGTTTGAAGTAAAAAATAACAAAATAAAGAGGTAGTAGATAATTGTCTGAATACCCTTTATATCGACTGGAATGCCACCCTCAACACATTTGAGCAAGTTCTCTGTATCACCTTCTCTAGCAAAGGCATGTATAGCATCTAATTTTCTGAGAAGTAAGGTGTTAGCCACATAACATTACTTCCTACTCCATGCATGAATTGCAAATTTAACCTAGTGTAAAACATGTAGAATTTCATTATTTATGCCAACAAATTTCACACTTCAAATACACAATACATACATATATATATATATACATATATATATATATATATATATATATATATGGTTACAGCTTCAGACAGTTAAACTTGTTCTATGAAATTTGAACAAAAACAACTAGAAGTGGAAAAGCCTTGACAATACTCGCACTCTAGTTCCATATAAACATGGGATAAGAGCATGTCTTATTATATACAACGGTCACCAGGCTCCCACATGGCAACTCCTCTGTCCGTCCAAAAATAATGTTCATAGTGAAAAAGGCACATGGTTTTAGAAATATGTAACTATTACAGTTTTTGATTAAGTAGATGGCAATTTTACCCTTAATAACAGAGGAAGTAATTACAGCTAAACATATCAGTTTAGATACCCACTTACAACATACTCCTGCTCAGCTTCTTAAAATTTCTTGCTAGTATCAAGTGAACTCACTTGATGTAACATACTTAGTAGCCAACTTATGATCAGTTAAATATTTTAATTTCCTAGCTTAACGTCTACATATATATACAGAGGGAGGATCAAACGAGAATGCTAACTATTTAAGAGAATACAATGATTGAATCGATCGAGAACCTTTTTTTCTGTTTGAATCGATATCTAGTATGGATTGTACATGGGCAGTAGTTGGAGTCGGCGGCTCTCCTTTCGGAGGAATTCAGGAATACAATTACAGCTCCATTCTATATTCGATTCGGGGATCCCTGGGGAAGACGATCAAGTTGGCGAAAACGGCCAAATCACATGTGATTTTGTACGTGATGTTAGTTTAAAATCTCATGTGATTCAACCGTTTTCTTATTCTATTAAATAGGTACCATTCTCGTTTGAACCCGACTCTCTCTCTCTCTCTCTCTATATATATATATATATATACTACTAACAGCATAGAGACTCTGCATATAACATGTAAGAAAAGGAGGCCAAAAACCTCTCAGTATCAGTAATCTCAAAACATTACAGGTTTAAAGAACCTTACAACTCGTCAGACTCCTCTTCGTGGATAAAAGTGCTGAAAACAGGTCCCATTGGTCTGGTATCTTTACTTGATGGTTCGTTAGCATTTCCACCTCTTCTCTTCTGTGAATTATCACAACAAAGAAAAAACAGAGTAAAATATGATGAGTGACTAGAATGAGAAATTATTTGAGAGAGAGAGAGAGAATCATCTCACAGAAGTTGAACCAGCAGCCCAAGTAGGATATAACTCTGTAATAATCTCGATATACTTTTGCATTGCTTCCTCTGGGGGCATTGCGCCTAGTTTCTGCCATGCATTCCTGGCCAAGAATACAAATTGCGTCAAGAATTAAAGGTGAAACGGATAAGGGAATTCGATCAAACTTCTGATGAAGAATATGACCAAGGATCTGTTGTATTTGTCCATCTGATATATGAAATATATCCACATACCACAAAACTCTCTTGAAAAAAGATTCATGAGATACTTCAATGGTTTGAGAATTTTTGCACAGATAGATAATGATGCCATTTTCATCATTCTTTTTAGAAGGATTCATAAGAATGCCAAAGTCCATAAACCACATAATAACAACACATATATAGAATTGAATTATAATTTGGAAAGACTGGGCTAACCGCAGAACCAAATATGGTATCAGCAAAGTCTTAGGGGTTGTTTGATTGGTTTTCCATTAAGTCCTCTATGGATTAATTTGTCTCTGTAGATGAGGAAGGTTTTTGTTTGAGAGGGTTTTTTCACGGATGAAGGAGAGCGTTTTTTTAATTGGGTGGAGCATGCTTGACTAAAAACTTTCTGCATAAAGCTCTCCCCTAAAGCTTATCGAATAAGCCACTTTTTATATCATTAAGTCTGAGTCCCGTTAAGCTCATCAACCTGCTAACAAACATGAGCGTAATCAACCAGACATATCGTCAAAATCAAGCTATGAATAATATTAAGCATTCAAAAGGAACAAAATCAGTGTAGTTTACATATAAGGATGTTAACAATACATACTACAAGCATCTTATTAGAAATTTACCATTTAGCTCGAGCAGTCATCTTGATGGCAGAAGGCTGAGGAACACTACAAGGCCCTTCAGTGGCAATTTTATACAACCCATAAAGCTGTAACTGCAAATCATTGGAAACCTTCTGGGATGACCGATCAGCCGCTGTCGCAGCCACAAATGCGGTGGCAGCACTAAACGCCTCATCTAATTCCGTACTCTCTACACCTTCCCAATCATCATCGCTATCTTCATCATCACTACCACTACTAATACCTGCATTTTCCTTTTCTTCAACAAGCAACGGTTCTTCGTCATCACTGGTACTGTAATCCCTTGGAATCTCCGCACCTGGTTTTTTCTCTTCCTGAACTGATCTCGACTCGGATTGGCTTACTATTTCATAGGATCGGTCTTCGTCAGAGTTAGCACGGGTGATACGGAGATTTTCATCGCGGAATGAGAAGATTATGGAGAAGAGCTTTGCGAGAAGAAACGAAAATATCAGACCAATGATTACTGATTGAGCACACTGTTGCCAGTCAAACATATCGTTGTAACTTGTAATACCTACGAAATGAAACCCTAGAAAGGAGTAATCAAATTGAGTTGGGGGTTTTGCTCAATTCAAAAACTCTAGTATCAATCAAAGCTTCTACAAATCAAAAGTCTTTGGTGATTTGAGCTGTGTAACGAAAATCCCTAGATTTGACTATGAAGTAGAGCTGTTTAAACCCTAATCAATGGATCATAGAAGATAAATTAGGAAGAACTGGCGCCGGAGAAACCGAGAACAGCAAATGGCCGACGAGCGATCGATCGATTAATACGTGGAAAAAACAACAGTGGATTGAATTCAAACGCTTTGGTGTTAAAATCATCCAACTCCATAGTCCGGACCAGAGATGCAGATAGACCAGTCTGGATCGATCCAGTAGTCCAATATTTCAGGCCGGTTCTTCATTGTCCATGACCGGTACCACAAGCCCAATCGGTCTTTTTAAATTATTTTTATATAGAGATGTTTATTTACTTTTTAATAGTTCTATTAAGAGACAACATCTGAATCGTTAAGAGGTGAACCTTGTTTGGTAAAAAAAAATTTGTTTTTTAATGGTTTCAAAACTCTCTGAATGATTTTGTATCATAGATCTCACTTAACCATTCAGCACCTTAATTTCATCGTAAACAATTACTGAACAATTATGTTTCATTTTGTATTATATCATGAGAGTTTTTTAATCATTCTGACCACTTGCACAAAACCATTCAACAACTGTCAAACAGTCAAATTGGTTGTAAGTTAGTTAATAAACTTGATGACTGATAAATTAGCTTAAAATATTAAATGTTTAAAGGGAATGTTAAAAAAATTATTCAATTTTAATATTTAATAAAAATTTAAAACAATTTAAATTTTTTAGTTAAAACAAAGTTAGGGATAACCGGATAAGAAGCCAAAGCGTTATAAGCTGAATACCATAAGGCTATAATAATTCATACCTGATTTAAAAAAGGGACTTGAGCCGTTACACATAAAAACCATATGGACCAAACATGTAATTTACTTTGTATTTAGAGTAAATTACATTTTTAGTCCTTGTGGTTTGAGGTTTATTTGACTAAGACCTCTAAACATGTTTATTACATTTTTTATATCTGTGATACACAAAAGTGCACGTTACAAATCCCTCGTACCAATGGATTTTGTTAGTCTAGTTAAGTATTGGGATAACTTTTGTCGTTTTACTTTCTTATCCTTTTACTAATAAAAAAACAAATATCCAATTACTTAATAATTATTATTATTTATTTTATTTTATTTTGTCGTTTGTGAACATCAAACAAATTATGGTTTTGAGGGTCATCCATTACGAAAAGACCTTCCTAACTATGATTATGAAGTCAGGTGAGAAGCGTATGTTATAGAGAAGTCAACTAGCCCTATACCCACCCTCTTTGGTAGATCCTAACACGAAGACGGCCATCTCAAGGCACACCACGACCTACAGGCAACACCGGCAAGACCATGCCCACCACCCCTGCCTCCCGCCCCCATCCCGTCTTCGTCTTCCCAAACTCCCCAAACACACCGACACCGAAGCCGAGCCTATTGCTCTTCCCTAAACCCTCCACCTTCTCCACCCCAACCGATCTTTTTCTCCAGTGAACCCTTACCCACTTCTCCCTCTCCCTTTCTCTCCTTCCTTTTGTTATCAAGTTTTTGCAACAACCCCAACAAGAACCCACTATTGGCTATGTGATATGCATCTAAAATAAGAACAAAATAAAAATTATGATAAAAAAACACTGACTATTCAAACAATTAAGAAAAACTATATTACAACAAAATTAGGTTTATATGAAGGCAAAAAAAAAAAAATCAAACGTCCTAAAACCTATATTTTTATAACACATTTGTTTTTGTAGGAATCTTTTTTAAACAAGATCATATAAAATTGCTAATGTGACGTTTTGTTTTATAAGTATCCTAAAAAACTTGTTAGGACGTAACAAAACGTCTTATAAATTTATTGCAACGTCTTTAGATAAGACGCTTTATATTTTGTTATATAAATCAAGTCTTCTAAAGTAGTTTATTAGGACGCTTATTTTTTTGCTTTCATATAAATCTAATTTTGTTATAGTAATAGTTTTTTTAATTGTTTGAATAACCATTGTTTTTTTTAATCTTAGTTTATAATTTTTATTTTACTGTTATTTTATTTATTTGTAGTTTGACTATAAATTAAAAATCTCAAGTTAACCATACTTAATTTTCAAGATGTTGTTTGCATATTTCATTTCCTAACTTACAAGATATGTAAATTTATTAACATTAAATTTTTTTTTTTAACACTAATTTTTTTTTTGTGAATTTAATAGTTTTTAAATAAATATAAAGACTTTTATTTAATATGTACTCTATTTTAAGAAATTTAATTTGTGATTGGATACATAAAATATTTTTTTAATAAATATTAAAAAAAATGTGGATCACATTAAATTTAGAGTAGATTACTTGTTTAGTTCCTATAGTTTGTTCAAAGACCGATTAGTCATTTATAATGGTTGTTAACAAACGTTGTTAAGTGGATAGATCATGCAATTAACATAGATAGTTTGTTTTAGGGATCAAATCTAAAACTTGAGCAAACCACATGGACCATCAGTGTAGTTCACCCTAAAAAATAATTATATACAAATACATTTGAGTGATGGTGTAATTATTGAGTTATAATAATAAATAGATACCAAAATATCCCCACCATGTGGAAAAGGATGATAAGATATGGGGTCAAGGAACAAGCATTGACTTTTTATGTTCTTAAACGATCTTCTTTACGGCTATCAATTATTCAAAACTTAAAATGCATTGTATGCATGACACGTACCGAATTTTAAGTTGCTTTATACGTCCCAAAAGCTTTGCATTTCCTCCGTGGGAACCAAAATCATCATTACTTTTAGGGGAAAATTGGAATTTATTCGATTAACTCCATTCGAATCAGTCGGTGAAATTCTATGATGGAGGAGAAACCGAGCAGTGCTGAAGCGGAAGAAAAGCCTGCCGGACTGGCGAAACGGGTCGGTAGCAATGTCGCATCGGCGTTCTTTGCATCTCTTGAGAGTTGCTCCTGTGTTAACCTAACCACCGCCGATTCCGACGACGAGGGGGATCTGGATGAAGAAGATCAGGTGATCGTGATGGCTCATCTTCAGTCCACCGCTTCCGATAGTTCCAAAACTTGTCCTGCCTCCGTCGAGAATCTCCCGGTCTGAATCGATGCTTCTAGACGCTGACATCGGTAATTTCAATTCATTAACGTGTCGTATATTTTTGGTTGATCCGATCGTATGTGATATTAGCTTTTAGTTAAATTCATAATGGTTCTGGGGTTTTTGTTATGCTTTTTATCAACAGGGACCATTGTTGTACCTTCATATGCTTGTTTGAATGAATAAATTTTTCTGATTTCATCAAATCCCGATTCAGTTACAAATTTGCTTGATCATTCATGTAATTAAGAACTTCATCCCCTTATGACATGATTCCTGACGGACGAAACATTTTTAGGATTCGGTTTTCTGGTAACCCTTCGATTTACTATTGTTGTTTGCTAAAGAAACAAACCAAATGAGTTCACTATATTTCATAAAATAATGTACATGTACTTTGCCTCTACATTAGAGATAAAGAAACGCTTTGCAAAACATAATTAGCAAACAAATGTGTACAAACAAGGTGAATAGAAAAAGAGTAGGGACGTAAGATAAAACCAATTAATAAACCTAAAACAATACCATAATTACTGTAATCATATATCTTTAAAAGATCCTATTAAAAGTCATATTCTTTGTTACCTTTACCAATTTAGATATCACCTTTCACGTCCTAGAATTAATCATCTATAAGAACTAATAATGCAACTAAATGCGGGTCGTGGTAGTTAACATCCTCACAACCACCCAACGTTTACACTAACTCTAAATGCGCCAACGTCGACTACCACCTTGGCAGAGTTGTCCCTTACCATGTTAAATATGAGATTTTGAACAAGTCCTCCAAATTTTTGAGGGCCAGTTTTACATATGTTTAGGGCATTTTCATCAATTTGTGTAAAGCTATAACCCAAATTGTTTAGGTTCAAATTGTTAATTGCTTAGGCTTAGATTAAGTTATTAATGGTTTAGATTTAGGTTAGGTTCAGATTGTTGATCGTTTAGGATTAGCGTCCTTTTGTGCTTAACATATATACATCGTTGTTATCTCTTATGCAATGTCATCAAAAGTTCTGGATCTAACAGGGTCTTCAAAAAGATTGGAACGTCCCTGCACTTTGGCCTACAAATGTTATTTCCTATAGTTTGTTAATAATGTTTATTTTCGTTCCCGCGATTTAGAAATTACAATTTTTGTCCTTGTGGTTTATAATTAATTGCTATTTTTGTTCTTGGACTAATTCATACATTTGAGTACAAGGGACCAAAATAGCAAAAAGAAAAATGAATAATAAACTGTAAATCAAAAAAACAAAAATAACAATGAATTATAAATTATAGGGATAAGAACCACAATGTCTAAACTATGAGAACAAAAATTGCAATTTTTAACAAACCACAAGTACTAAAAACATAATTTACTCTTGCATGCATCATTTTGTTCATTTGCTACTTTTAGCACGTAACGACGAAGGACCAAGTGGGGGTCTTCTACACTCGTTTAACTACATAATTTTTATAACATAAAAGGTTTATTCGTTAAATTTTAAGATATGCTCTGAATATTACAAATGTTAATAAACATTTTTATTATGGTAAATAATATGAAAAAGTAATGTATTTTCATTTTGATATCTAAGATGTAAAATTTTAAACATTTAAGTATCCGGTTAAAGATTAATTTTAGATTAAAAAAAATCTATATATGTCACTAACTCAGTCAGCAAATAATACTGAGTTGGATACCACATTAGTATAATAACCGGTAAATGCTTCAACCAGTTATCCGGATACTTGTTTGTTTAAAACTTTGCATCTTATGTATCAAAATGAAAGTTTTAAACTTTACATCTTATTTGTTTGAAATTTGTCTCTTTTACTAAACAAGTTTTAATATGTTGTTATCTTTATAAAAAAAATTATACTAAACATGAAATATACTTAATTTATAAATGTGTTGTAAAAAGATATGCTTTTAATGACATTCAAACTTAAGGGTGCGTTTGGTGCGCAGACAGGACAGGACAGGGTAGGACAGGACAGGACAGCTGTTCAACATTTGGTAAGACAGGACAGAACTGGTTAAAATGATCAATTTACCCCCAGTGAGCAATCAGAAACAACAAACATGAATCAAAAACAACAAACATGAATAAAAACAGCAAACAAAATGCAGTAGCAAACATGAATAAAAAACAACAAACATGAATAAAAACAGCAAACAAAATGC